GTTCAGTAGTTTTGTTTTATCATTGTCCTCAAAATCATGAAGGTATGTAAATTTTGCCAGAAATGGTGCCATCATAAACACCCAAAATTGTATGGTGTATGGCAAGTATACAATGTTTATTACTGTATGTACAGTATATATATATTAGAGATCAGTTTAGTAGACTAAAATAAATTAAAATTAAAAATAAACACAAAATATATCATCCAGTAATAAAGGTTACATAAAGTTCCCGAGTTATAGAAGGATTTGCAAGATCTTTTAAATTCAGTACTGCCTAAAGAAACATCCTTTCAAATAAAGTACTGTGTACTACTCTCTCTACAGTAATACCTAATTATTCAACCTATAAATGTTTCCCAAAGGATAGAAAGAAATTACATTTTGTAGTGTTTGAATGTCAAGCAAATAAAATCTTTAATTATTCTCCTATCTTCAGCCAACTTCCTATTCTGATACTGTATCCTGCACACCACACATTTTCAGGCCCTCATCTTTGTAATGTGACAGTAATATAAATATAACACTAGAAATAACTGGCTCATCCTTATATAAATGCCATATTAATGTAGATATGACTCAGCCTCTTACCTATAAAATTTTATACAGTCTGTGTATTCATTAAACAACAATCCCATTACTAAGAGGGTGTAAGGCAAAGGTATTTCATGTTTACAGTTTACACATCAGTAAACAAAGTAAAAGGTGTGCTTCCCTCTTCTTCACTCTGTCAACTTGACTCCACCCTCAAGACTATGGGGAAAACTGGTGCATCAAACTCACAAGTGCATTACTCTGACATGAAGAGGTGCACTGGACTCAACACACACAGGTGCACCATATCATATGTGATGTCCTAGACTCACAAGAAGAGGAACATCAGATTCAAAGCAACAGTTACACCACTCACAAAACAGGTGTACAATATGGGACTCCATAGAACAAGTAGTGTACCTGACTCACAGCAGACCAAGAAACACTCAACCTTCACTCACTGTTATGACCCCTCGTCCACTCTTGTGCTGGGTGGATCAAAGAGAACACAAACCTCCAAGGGACAAAATAACAAGGTAAAGTGGTGTGAGATGAGTGTAAATAGTGACAGGAAAGGTTCACGACAAGATGCAGAAATACCTGTGCATTCTTACAGATACTCTCAACTTGCAGATTATATCTCCTTACTTGATAACATTTTGATGAAATTCTACCTAATAAGAAACTAAGATGATATACTGTTTTCCTTACATATCTCAAAACTTTGGTATACATTTAATATATCTTCATCATCACACCTTCATATATCATATTAGTGTAGTGGAAATATCTGAATAAACATAATTGTTCAACTTTCTTGGTCATATACAGTGCTGTAATTTTTATTCCTTATTTCCAGGCCCCTCTCAGTTGTGGACCTAAAAGTATATGCCTCCTGAAGACCTGAACATATACCCGTACATGATACTTTTATTAACACCAAAATCTTTTAATACACACAAGAGTATACAGTACAGGTATCTAAAGAAGGCAGATCTGAGTTAAAATCATCACAGTGTTAACAGGTAAATAATGTGGCGGGTTAATATACTAGATGCTAACACCGGCAGCTCTGATCTTTGACTACTCAGCAGCCCACAGTTAGTGAATCTACTTGTCCTTAAGACTGAATCAGTGCATTTTGGTTCCTAAATAAGACATTTCATTTACCAGAATACGTAGTGGTGTGTGTCAATACCTCCGGTGCCCCCATGATGACCCCACCACGGATGTAGGTAAGGTGCCACCATTAATGTTCCTGGACAGTGACAATTAAATTTGATCCAGGACAGTGCCAACAATTGCTAATTTGGTCCAATAATGAGATAATTATTAACTTGGTTCAGCACTGACATACAGTAATTGTTTATAAAAGGAGAATTTCTCGTATATGTTAACTTCCAAAATCTACACACATCAATATCCTCCTCCTCCTTTTCTATTCCCTATACATTGTCAAAATTGTCTTGACCAATCTCCAGGGAGAACTGTATACTTTTAACAGAGTCTATAAACCATAGTACTGTACAGTATGCTCATTCTTATGAGTCAAGTTACTTGTTATGAGTAGCAAGAGGAGCTCCATGTGTGTTCTGGACACAATGTTAGTTGAATTGGTGTGTGTGTTGTTCCGACATGTCTATTTTCCTTAATAATATACAGTACCTCTAAAACAGCCATAGGCAGATTTATCAGGAATAACAGGAGGGATCCTCAACAAGCTGAAAAATTTCTTAACCAAGAACACAAAGTAAGCAAACAAGTGAGCAAAGTATATGAGCGAGACCGGAAAAATATATATCTGTATACTGTATATTTTGTATACATATAATGTGCATATAAATGGTGTTGAGTTTTTTATATAAGTACTACAGTAAAAGCTCCCACTAGTGGATAACTACCACTCTGGACAAGCCTCAATTTGCATTTGTTGTCTACTATTGGAAATCAACAAAGGTAAAATCCTGTAGTGAATGGGCAATTCATTAACTACATTCCATCTGAATATTTTAATCCATTATTGTTGTCTGTTACTTAAAGCCTTCAGGGGAAAACCCACAATGTGTTCAAACTTATTGGCTCATGCTGGAAGAAGGCAACACAAGTGGAGTCCCACCCCACCACAAGGTCTCCAGGTGCCCTCATGCTAAGAGGTGTTTCTGAAGTTAAAACATTCTTGCAAAGAACTTTCAAAGACATTCACACAAATCCTGGTGTGACTAAAAACATTGTGTTATGGTACACTATTGCCAAAAACTTCTCTAAAGAAGAGCCATACAAAGAAAAGGTTAACTGGGAAGGTTTCGTCTGCTGATCCAGAAAAATGGTAGTTGTCCACACCACTTGTCGACCTCAGTCTACAATATGGTATTGTATCAAGTGAAGACTGTGTATCTTTTGAGAGAATATTTACATCTATTGTCTTAGTGTGTCAGGTTAAATTAATATAGATATAAACTAAAAATTTGCCTTCGAATTAAAAGCCCCTACAGCCCCCACAATGGGACCTGTACTTAATAGAAAGTGTCCATTTATGGACAAATAAGTGACTACTGGGAGGACTTAGTGTACTTCACCCCAACTTGATGTGCCATGACAGCTGTATGAAAGTAACATAATATAAAACAAGCTGTTCCCTACCAGTGTCCACCAGTTGCCCATTTTTTATCTAAACCCAAAACCATTTAAAGCATTACAGTATCGTCTATTTTCCTCTAAACTTGTACAAAGTTTGATGAAAAACTCTCAAGTATTTTGTATAGTGACTGGGGATGGAAAATTGTGGACAGACAGACACATGGACGGAGAGCAATCCTGTACTCCCCCTCTGGCTTCACCAGTAGGAGACTAATAATATGTTACCTAATGCAACAATCACAGCAAAGGAAAGAAATAATAGAAATACAGTACTACAAGCAGCATTCAGTATGATGCATAAGAAATGAAAGGACATCTGGTATTACTGCACAATAAACTGTTGGTCGCTGAAAAAGTAACGTTGGAATTGTAGGTAGAGAACAGATGTGTACTTTAAAGACTCACGCTAAAGATCTTCTCAGGAAAGTGAATTGTTGAAGCGAGATCAGATCCCAAAAGCAAAGCCCTGTGTTAGGGAAGTGTACAGAGGTTAGCAGAAAATGATACAAAGTAAATAAAAAAAAGTTGATAATATTTGTAAACAACTGCAGACAACACAAACATGGAACAATAACAAAGTAATTTCATCAGTCAACCTCACTCCATTCATAATCGACTAAGAGTGGCCGAGGTGCCCACCATTTTAAGTACCTCATACAAATCCGAAGGAATAATTAGGATTTACATTCATGGTATCATTATAAAAAATCTAAAAATATAAGCAATGAGAATAATTATCTCCTTCACGGCTGATAACACAGGTTCACGCATGGAAACTTATAATCTAAGTCGCTTTGGGTCTATCCTGCTATCGACACAAAATGGCCTCTTCACCTACACGTAGCCTATATCAATGTATGTAATAAGTCATTTATGTCCAATGTATATTTTCAGCCTTCGGGCTGCAAACTTTTTCAATAAACCGTTTATTATTATTATTATTATTTTTATGTTATCTCGAGACCAAATACATGTACTACTCTATCTTCTACTTACAAACGAACCCATTTACTTTATAATTATGGAGAAATCCCCAGTTTTCAATATGATTAAGTACCAGTTGAGTACAGTACACTACACAGTAATCATGTACAGCCTTCAATATCAGAGACAAGAGAATTTAAAAGCACTATACTATCTGGTTTCTTTCTTCAGAACCTAAATAATCTGTCAAATTATGTTACATTCTTCTGTACCTGTAATATAATCTTACCCTCAAGTAAAAGGCCCATCAAATACACTCATACCACTCTCTGACGGATTCTGTGTAGTGTTATGACTATTAAAATAAGAAAGGAAATGCCAACTGCTTGCAATATATATATATATATATATATATATATATATATATATATATATATATATATATATATATATATATATATATATATATATATATATATATATATATATATATATATATATATATATATATATATATATATATATATATATATATATATATATATATATATATATATATATATATATATATATATATATATATATATATATATATATATATATATATATATATATATATATATATATATATATATATATATATATATATATATATATATATATATATATATATATATATATATCTATAAATTAAAGTTATAACACAAAATAATCTACAATACATCTATCAGTAAAAATTCTATACCTAAATTGGTCAAGATCATATAACAGTTCTTCTTGCATCTGTAAAGTCTAGTGTTTGTATTTACTGTATATGGTAGAACTAATCCCTTAAGACAACATATAGTTCAAGCCATGTAAGTAAAGTCAACAAACACAAAACAAAACAGTACCTTGAGTGTATTCTGTGTTTGTGTGCATGTGTTAATGCTGCTTGCTAAATAATAATAATAAATAATAAAGAAAGTTTAGATCACCTAACAATATTTCCACTGGTAACACAGCTCAGTGAAAGTTACCTCAAGCCACACGAGAGATAGTACACAATAAGTAATTCCTTGACATACCAGTCAGACAGTGGGTACAGCATAAACACACACAATACAAATATATATCAAACATCACCTTGGTAAAGCCTGTTCACATCAGTTACTTCATCCTTCATGGATTAATTGCAAAGAACTAAGTCTCCGTTTCTGTTCTTTCTCATTCAAGATAATAAGAAAAATTACCCGACAATCCTTAAAATATAATTAAATTTCTAAGAGCACCACTCGGGTTATTTCCAGTAAAGTTACTATAGAAAACAATGACAAAGATTCAGATAAATAGAAAAATAGTTTTCCTATAACCTTTCCTTGGAGTACATGAGAATGACCCAACAAAAGCTGCCTCCACACACACACAACAGCATTCCAACAAATTCCTACAAGAAACAAATTCCATCAATGGAACCCCAAGAACTCCCACCTAAACATCACTCAATATACACTTCTCATCTAGTCTTCTTTCTCTTCATCTATTCCACACCACCTCATACACTATCATTTTCTCCACCTCCATTCTCTTGTCAAATATAAATAAAAGTATTCTTCTAACTTTTGTTGCCCATTCCCCACATAATTCATCTCCTCCTAAGTCCCTTTATTTACCCAATTCCATTTCATATTTATATTACAGTACCGGTATTCCTTCCTTTTGTTTCTTTCACTCTCCAATACTTCCACCCTTCTCTTGTATCTCTTTCAACGGTTAACCATTACAGTATTTGATCACTTTCCTTAGTCTATGTCACATCACCACCTTCACTACCAGTCACAGTCTCTTGTACCAAGAAGCTGACAGCCTTGGTAACATTAAAAAAACCCTGCAAACTTTACCTAAAAATTTTCCTTTAAAAGCAATCACTCAAACTCAGGCTAAGACTCCATTACCTCACTCATGTAATAAGGGTTGGCTGTGAACAGCTGCCTAGTACTGTGTGGGACTACTGGAGCTTCCACTATTCTTGTGTTATTACGTGCATCACAGAATTGTTCAACAGGCAGCTACTAAACAGATACCTCACCACATACAGTATATGGAATCATGACGCATATTCAGACATATTCATATACATATCCAGGCTAATGGAATCTAGTACAATTCCTAACAAACAATCTGTTCTCTTGAAAGGAACCTTTCTGTCTCTCTCGCACCTTTCCCTCAACACGATAAACTTTAAACACATTCAAGGATCATTTTCTACTCCCAGTACAGTACTTAGTTTCATGATTAAAATAATGTTGCACAGAACAGGAAAAGTCTGCCTTAGATTATTTTTATAGTACTTTAGTACAATAGTACCTGTATATCCATTCTCTCTTTGTATGCAGCAGACGAGTTCCTTTTAGGGTTAACATCAAATTCTGAACCGATCATGAACTACAGTACAGTACTGTATAATATGTGTCCTTCTAATTTTGAGAGTTAAAGTTTGCCTGCCTTAATATAATGCAGAGTTTTCATCAACCATAACTGTTGGGGCTGATAAAGGAGGAGGACATGAGACAGTTGCTGAACAATTTGCAAATTAGTTTAAGTATCAACAAAGAAAAGTCTTTAAAAATAAAATACATTTTCCTCTAGTAAATCAAAGAAACAATTGGTTTTGAAAATACTATATACGTTTCCAGTAACACAGTTCACTAGGTAAGTGTGAGGATAACAAGTTTTGAGGTAACACTCAAACGTGCTGGACTAAACAGTAATGCTACAAAAAATGCCAAAGAAGTAACTTTCTAAATGCAAGAATAGAACATGAATATCTTTTCTCTGTATCAGGGTTTACAATGAGAATCCCAGCAATAAGGTAATTATAAATAAATAAATAAATAATATTCTAGAAATAATTCTCAAATATCAAGCTTCGAACGAACGAACGCACGCACACATTCATATACTGTATTACACTAAATTTCTTCTAAATTGACAGTTCACCAGCTGGTCGGGCTAATTTATAAACAAAATGATCCTATTTACTAAATGAATGCCGTTATTTCTTTTTATAAACAATACATCATATTTCCTACAATTCTTCAGCTCTATTAACACTAAAATAGTCAGACAGTAACTACATGGATAATTACCAATAAAAAATATCTGCATCAACACAGACTCGAGCTGTTGTAATTCTTTATCTACTGTACTAAGATTAAAGACACAGACGTGCAGGAGGTGTCTCCCATACATATGAATATTCTATAATAAGATCTGGAGCCTCTTACTACCCTGATGAGACACTCTTCCCCACTAGCACCATCAAGGTTAGTGTTGTTTTGCACTAGGCACGGAGATTATCTATTCCTCATGCACCACATGTCTAACTCAATTAATTACCTAATATAAATTAAACAAAATTGAGCACTATAGAATGGTAGCATTTAGCAATATGGAAATATAAAGGACTGATTCTGAAATCCCATTTGATAACTGAGCAAGGATAAGGTGACTCATATATAGTGAGACAAGTTTAAAGGGCGAGAACCAGACTCCCGCAACACCAACTTGTAAATTGTAATTAAACGTTGAAATACGAAATCGAAAAAGGAAACAAAGTGTATATTTCATCACCCCTGAAGCCAGATACACAGTGTGAGTTATAGAGACAGACTTTTCCTGAACTCCCATCCCAGGTAACTCTATGAAGGGACCCAAAATATCATCTTTGTGTCCTCTGACTACATCCTGCACCTGGTAAGACACTATCTTTATACACTGAGTTACAGGTGGGAAAAATAAGGCTGCAGTGCTGGGCAGTGTAGACCCTGTAGGCAGCTTCCCACCACACCAGCCACTGGGTTGTTCAGCAATGACAAACATTCTTGCACTGTCAAGTAAACATATTACAAATACAAACACCTGGGACTGTACAACTAGTCAAACCCTCAACGCATGGTGATGAAGAATCCTCCTCCTCCCTCAGTAGTGCCCCATACAAAGTGTTACCTATCAAAAAATCTGATGCGGCAGGAAAGGACTTTTTTTTTCAATTTACAATATTTTGTTCAAAGTTTTGTTCCAGTTACCAAGTTGTGGTCCCCTTGAAGATGTGTGATTATATACGAGTCACCTGAGACTTAAGTCAAGCTATAAAATACATAAACTTACAGACATAATTTCTGAAGATGAATGGTTGACAAACTCTGACTGTTTCTACCCAACTAAACTGTTGATGACAAAAAATTTACAATGACAAAAATAAATTGACAATTTATAAAGCAGGTCTCACTCTGAGACGAACGACAAACCCGTCAAAAGTTTTTGCGCAATGCACTAAGGGTATTTCACCTTACCAAACTGTATTGAAGATCATAAATTGAACTCCTAAAAGTAAAGAAACAAAGTAGCTCATTCATATCAATCTCAGATCAAAGACTATGCATACATGCTTGACAGACAGCCACACTTTTTAAATGAACCAAGTAGAAATATTTTCACAACCTATTTTTACATTTCACTGAACGGCTGAACCTCGTGGTGAGCCAAATACCACAACAAATGCAACTTTTAGGGACATCATGGCCAAGTGCTCAAGTTCAAATGATAAATTACAAGAGAGGAAAACACATTTACATCCATTACATCAATAATAGTAATCTAATAAAGCCCACAGAGCTGAGGCACCAACAATGAAAGTACCGTAACTTTTGGGAGGCCAGATCCTGAGTTCCAGAAGCTTCAAGATTCCCCTAGCTTAAAAAATATGGCTGTCACAATGAAATATTTTGTAACTGGCTCTACGGTTATGTGTTTACTTCCCAGGCCTGATACCAACCCATAATTATGAGGCTTACACAGCTGTTTGTCTCCCTGCTTCCAACACTGACAAACATTTACCACAACACAACAATCATCACCACCAATTTTACTTGCTGGTAATGTATCAAATAGAACACTATACATAAATGCTAAATCAATAAGTACAAGAATACAAATTCACTGCGTACAAACCCAAGCACAAATCAAGAATAACTGTGAATGAATAGAAGCATTAGTACCTCTAACACACACACTCAAACAACACACAGTACATAGTAGTATATTGAAGACATTTCATTTTAAAAGTTCAAGAATAAGTAGTAAATAATTATATGGATTTAGTACTTTTTCCTCATCACTTTAATTGATTTTTATTTATTTTTTAATATATAACCACAAATTTCTTATATTCCATGATTTTACTTCTGGAATGGGTCTCACATTCACAAAGAATTACTCTTAGTTAAACATGCTTACCATATTGCAAAAATTTAATCCTGAATTATTCCAATTCCTTAAATAAATTTGTCCCTCCAGTGACTTAGTTGAGTTCACTACTGTACTGTCTATAATGTACACTCACCAAAACAAAATCCTGTCAGTCCCCTCTCCCAGCCATGAACCCTGAGACTCGAACCTGTGAATCTGAGACATCACACATTAGATGGTCCACTGTGTGATGTCTCAGATTCACAGGTTCATGAGTCTCAGGGTTCATGGCTGGGAGAGAGGACTGACAGGATTTTGTTTTGGTGAGTGTACATTCATTCATCCAATTACAGTACTTTGATATTTAAAATGGCTATCTCAAATCCAATTTTAATTCCTCAATAGATGGAACTAGACTTAATATTCCCACCAAGCGAGTGAACAGTATACCTAAGACTCAATATTAGTTCATATTGTCATAATCAATTACCACTATATACTGCTATGACATTTGCTTCTTCTCGCATCCTGATTTTAGAATCATTGTGCTTCACTAAAGGTACAGACAATAAATATCAAAATGAGTGTACAGTATTGAGTATTGATTTGTGAGACTGACAATTCTTCTCAAAATAATATCAGTTAATTACCATTATTGATTTAAAAAATAAAATGGCATTGTATCCTCAATCTGTATTGAGACAATCCATAGAGTGCCTTCAGAAAAACAATATATTTCTATTATTATTAAAGATTAAAGACAAGGTCATTAAATATAGAAAAAATAATAAATAATTTTCTAGTGCAAACTTTTGAAAACTCATTTGTGTGATACCCAGCAACAAAAGGCACATACTCCACAGATTGTTAATACCTCAACTTGTAATAACTTTTAACACTATATAAAGAAGTAAAACTGTTTTGAGCTGTGTACTAAAGTCATCAAAAATTCATTACAAAAACAGATCTTTCACTGGCCAGTTTGTAGTACATTTGTTTTACTCCTAAATAAAAGACTAAGAATATCACAAGTCCACTAGTAACAAAACTACTCCACTTTCCATTTTCTTACCATTGTCCCACTAGATACAGAAAGGTTCTACTGTATAAAGGTAACAGCAGCTCCTCATAATAAATAAAACCTAACATTAAGTGAGCAGATGCAATAATCCTCGAGAATGGTGAAACAGATAAGTAAACAAAGTTGTCTTCAGTGTTTATCAGTGTATGTTTCTATCCAAGAACTTGTCCCCCCCAAAATATGTTCATACCTTCAACTCTTACAAACGTTTGCTTTGATGGAAGGCTTGCATTTCACCACCGTCATTATTTCTACCTTCTCGTTAACACTTCTCATGGGAGTTCTTAAGATTCTGTGAGTCCTACTGTAGTTTCAATTCAAATCCTTTGCTTGTACAAAAAAAAATAATCCCACAACTAAAGACACAGAGTCCAATTAACAGTAACTAAACAGTGCGTATAAAAAGCTCCGTACAAAGTCACCATTGTCTACCGTAACTCTGACAACTGAGGCACATTGTCAGTCATACGTTAAAGTTAGGAAACGTACCAAACCAAACGCTGGAAATTATATCAATATTTAAACAAGAGTGTCACTGGTACATCCTCTGCTTAAGATTAAAGTATATGGATCATGGTCAATTCTAACACATCTGTTGAAAGGCAAACAATTACACCTAAAGAATCCTCATCCTTTGAAAACTACGTACGGTACTCTACAAAATAACCCAAGAGCTTCATATACACTTCATTCACTCACTAAATATGACACATCAATTATCACATATAACAACAGCTCCTAGTATCCACCTCAAATCCTCAACTATCAATGGTTGTCATGAAGTCCTCTGTAATAATGGATTGGACGATATAGCTAGGATGGATGTTGCACTCACACACTAGCAGACGGTCACCGAGTAATTTTCCGCCATAAAACCATCGCTGACGACTACCGTTCAGGTTCTCTTGAATCTGGAAAAGTTACTTGGTATCAATTATGTAAACAAAAAGCATGAGACAAAAGTAAGAGACAATATCTATTCGTCACTCTTTTAAGTTGTTCTCAGTGAAATGCAGGAGGTCAGAATCAAAAGAAAACAAACACACACACTTATTGTCATTCATTCACCAGTCAAAAGTAAGACAGATGTATTATAAATTAAGGCCAGCACTGAGCTTCCAATACAAGAGTGGAGTGTAAGCATCCAACCTTGAGGCTCATATGACTGCAATTGAAGTGGATGATCTTGTGTTTTATGACTGGGCTAAACAAATGATGGTCGAGGAGTGTGCAAGCTTGCATAGCACCAATGACTCAACCCTCTTCCCTTGAGGGCAAAACTCCCTGACCAAGTGATTCCTTTTCAGTGAAATAATCCCTTATGATCATCTGGTCTTAACACAAGAGAGATAACCTGGTAGACAGAAAAATGTCAACACGCACTAGCCATTAACCTATCAGAGAACAGTGTTTTTAGACCACCATTCAGCATGTGGCAACATCACCAGCACTGTCACCACACTCTGGGGCGGGGATGGCACCAAACTAAATGCACTCTGAGCCGGATTGGTCTGCTAAAACTGTCCTGCAAATACCGGACAAAAAGAAGTCCCTTACGTGAATATCCAGCATTCAAACTTTCTGATCTGTACTGTTAAGTAAAAAGAAGAAAAAGAAAGAAAAAAGTGAAAAGATGCAATTCTAGAAATGTTATATTGTATTAAGTTAATCCTTTCTAGTACAAGAGATATGATAATTAGTTAATTTTAAAATTTTCTTGCTTATTGTGGTATGCAAAAACTGAGTTTAACTGACTCAGCAGTGCCTGATTGATAACTGTGACAACCAAGTTCCTGCAGCAAGTAATATGATGTTTGTAAAGTACCTAGATATATGATTTGTTCTCCAAAAATGTACTATATAAAGTACTGCTACTTCATTACTTACCAACATTAATTATATCTTCCTTGAATAATAGATAAAGAATTACATGTTAAAATAAATGCAGACAGACACAGGCACAAAACACCTACAGAAAATTACAAAGTAAAAAATGATACATACATCAAGCTTTCTCTTTGATGTAGCTACTGAGTCTGTTGAACGCACAGCCAGCTTTACATCTTTACTGGTTGTGGAGAGACGGACTTTAAGAATGGTCTCTTCTCCCTCCACACTTGCTCCTGAAACCCAAAAGCATAACAAGAGATGAAAATTGTCAACAAATAATAATAACTCAAAATTATTGATCAGAGCTTTACTGTGAATCACAATTATGTTGTTGTTTATAATTTTAGTAAGTTCTGAAGAATAATCATTAATTTGCTGCTGAAATAAGATCTGATCATCAAATGCTAATAAATGACATGATGTAGTGTACAGTACAGCATCACCAATGGTGTGATGTGAACTGGGGGCTGAGGTTGTATATGTGTCAGGTGAGGTCTCAATGTTACCATCACTATATGAAGATGATCAGATAATTTACCCCCACAAACAATGACCTACACCACATAATGTATGCTCAGAACATAAATATTGTCCATTTCTACCAACCAATATTATGATTTTCTCCTAAGATCAAGGATAAAATGTTTAAAGGCATTTTCATCCGTAACTTTGGCCACCACTGTACTTGATTCCTAAACAAGCAACACTGCTATCAGCACATAATGTACTTGTATACTGTTGGCCAAATGATCAATAATTGAACTTATCATGTCTTTACACCTGTAGCCTTGATGTTGTTTGATGTAAGAAATACATTAACAAGCTATGGTAAATTTTCAATACTCGAAAGTTGAGAAACAATTTACCGTACCTGCTTCATTTTCACCATCTTTATCAGGTGTGCGCTGAAGGATGTTGAGTGGGTAGGACAAGCAATAAACAGGTAGCTGGTACCTTGTTCCCAGCTCATCGTAGCAATCAGTCAAGGCACCTGCAATGGACAAACACTTTCTCAATACTGTACAAAAATGGTTTACTATAATTAGATTAAAATTTATCAAAAAACTGTTGAACTATCATACATTCATGAGTTTTAGAGCAAGAACAACTCATATATTACAATGCCACATGCCATGTAGTACAATGTAAAAGAAGAAAAATTAATAGCAAAATTAATGTCACCTGAGGAGAGGCAAATGTAATGATTATTTCATATTTATTTTACTGGAAAGATTAACAGAGGAAATATAACAAATTGGAAAAGTTGTTGTGACTACTGTATTAACTATGTACGGTGCAACATTAAAGAATACAATAACAAAATGGAGGATTTTAAAAAAAGGTAAAAAAAAAAAGTATGTACTGTACTGGTAACCTGTGATACCTGCATTTAACGACTCTCAGGCAGAGCTTGCACTGTTCCCGTGACAGTCTTCACCAAACTATTAGGCCAGTGTAACTTACAGCTCAGTAGCTCCTTGTCACATAAGGCAAGTCAAATCAGCTATATATAAATTCCGACCAAAGTGGTTGTTTCAAAAGCCTGAGAAATTCCAGGTTCACCAGAATGAAACCCTGGGAGTGATTTACTTGTAATAGTCATACAGTAGTGGTTAAAGACAGACTGCAAGATTTGCTAATAGCATGAAGCATTGAGTGTGACACCAAGTTAACCTGTGACTGAATGAATAGGGAAGTGTGAGGTGTGTACAACATACTGTATAGTTGGACAGGTGTTACTTACACAACTGAAATAATTCCAATACAATTTGTGAGATAATTTTCATTAACCATGAGCCACCCAAAATATCACACTAGTGAGGGTTCAGTGTACAGTACTGCACTCATTAGGCAATGTTTCAAGATACTCACCATTAGGAAGTGTTATATTTGCTCCATCAATAATTGCTTGAGCCAAGTCATAGTCTTGATTCTCAATGGCCAGCGCTGCAGCTTTGAGTGCATCCCATATCTCACGACGACCCTCAAAGGCAGGAGCCGTGTCCCAAAACTCGTCTCTCTTGCTCCTCACTTGGCCCTCCGTCAGAGGCATGTCCGACTTCCATCTGATCCTCTCGTGCCGCAGAGGGACATTCTTTCCTATTGATGTACCACCTGAAGTTAAAAAACTTACTATTTTATTGTAAATGCTTTCCATTTATTTCTATCCCTTTGAATTTTTGCTTGAATAATTTCATCAATAGCTATATTGTACAGGTATATAAAACAATCAAAATATGAACTAGAGTTGTCTTTATTAAACACTGTATTCCACTCAGCTGTACTGTGCTGTACTCACCCACACAACAGTCATCTTGGAAGACTTTAAACACCAATACTGTGTCTCACAAGTTGCTGAATATTATAAAAATAATTTACATATGGATACTAATATTCAGATCTAATACAAATCTACCAGAGCACAGAAACACAAAAATTAAGTTGTTACTCGGGAATTTCACTTCACTATCTATACATGGGGACCAGCTGAACCAATTGTTGATAAGGGATTAATTTTAATTTTTATTTAGTATCTGTGACTCCAATCACAATAAAACAAAAAATCTACAATTATATTTATACCAATGCAGCGCTTCATACCATAAGAAAACTTCAACAAACTCTTTCATTATTACTAACAAGGGTAAAATATTAGTTTGTCATCCCTGTATTGTGAACTCCAAACTGAGATTTACAACACATAGTAAGATTTAAATCGTTCAAAACACCTCAGAACAATAGAGTTTGGATATCTAACCTTACCTAAACTAATTTCTAAAAATCCCCGGATGAAGGAAACTAAAATAATACCTAACAGAGCCTTAAGGTAGTGGTGTTACCCCCTCTATACCCTTCACAGTAATGACCATCACCTATCACGACTGGCGGTGTAAGGGGGCAGGATACTCGGGGCAGGATACTCGGGGCAGGATACTCGGGGCAGGATACTCGGGGCAGGATACTAGGGGCAGGATACTAGGGGCAGGATACTCGGGGCAGGATACTCGGGGCAGGATACTCGGGGCAGGATACTCGGGGCAGGATACTCGGGTCATAATATTACGAGACATTTCCGGTTATGATAATACTTGTGGCCCAACAGAAGTTATTGGTTATATTAAGTTAGGTTGACTCACCTCTCATGGACGTGGATCCCTCAGCAGAAGACGTACGGCTTGAGGCCGAGCCTTCCCTGGCCGTGCCTACACACCCCCCCATTTTGCCCAGTCCTCACTCAAGCCACGGTAGAGCAATAATCTTTGCATCTTCCTACCGAGTCCCACCGACCATTTGACAGATGACCAGCAGTGTTAGGACTTTCGTCATTTAGGTACATTTGTTGCTTTATAAAATTTCCATTGGTAAATATATTTTGCGTTTTAATGATTTGCTAAATGACGCTAGAAATTATAGTAAATTTGATTTTATTTTTACTATCATAACTTTCTTATTTTTGATATAGTATGATCGTTAATTTCACCTTTCGCCTAAATAAAAATGTTGGAACAGTCTGATAACCAGCTGATTATATTCATGTTCTATAATAGAAAGATTCAGTAACTGTTCCTGTAAATTAATTGAAACAATAGGTATGTTTAAGATAACGATATTATCTTTAACAAACAAATACGTATCGACTTTATCAGCTATTTATCTTATTTCAATATTCTCGTCATGCCTTTAGGTAAATATTAAAATATTTAAATCAATGATTAGTTTTATTAAATCTTTGATAGTGACAAAACTATCTGAATATTTTGTTTACATAAATGTTCTATATTTTGTATAAAATTCAATTCAAGACATTGAGTAATTTTTCCTTAAAATAAAGTTTTACTCAAAACAGTTGCCATAACTGTGGAGGCTTGGTGCACATCACAAATCACTGGATCAATCAAGTTAAAATATTACCAGGCTGTTCATTGCAAGCCAAGGCAGTTGAGGGTATTAAAATAAATAAGGCTAATGAGGATAGATAAATAAATAAACATGTGTAACCAACATACAATATAAATAATGTATCCTCCAATCTTCCCGGAGAACCGGATTTAAATGTCAGTTCAAATGTTCAATCACAGGGTGAGAGCCATTAAACACTAAATAATTATAGAATTATAGAGGAAGGAACTACTGTACTACCCCCGCATATCTTGGAGTATGTCGCACTAATGGTCATAATTGATAATGTATTAACTGTGATGTTTTTATATCTCTTGTCTACTATGTTTTGCACTTAATGGAGAATCATATACAAATCAAAACCAGTATCAATTACACGCCCTCACGTCTGCAGACCACTTTCAACATTATTCACAATACCTTACAGAGCTGGTGCTGGTGCATCAACCTGTGGCTCAAAATGTTCATCACCAGGAAGGGTATTCTGTAAGTAATGGCAATATTGTTAAACCACCAATACCATTATAATTTTCTGTTTCATCTGTGTGGATGGGTATCCCCAGTACCCCAAATGCCCTCTCTATAACATTACAGGTTTTTATGTGAGAAGTATTATAGTTTTTCTCTTTATCACTGGTGGGCGAGAGCACTGGAGTGAGCAGGTACTTCCGGCAAGGATAGCCAGAGTCTCCAAGAAGGATAAGAAGAAGTTAACCTTACCTGAATGTTTAAAAAATGACCAACTTTACTCACAAAATTAACATTCATATTATGGGGGAGTTTTTTAAAATAGACTATGAAGATGTTAGTTAAAAAACAATTCTGTGTGAATCATGGAAATTAAAAGTTTATATTTTCAATAATTTAATGTACAAATTTACAAGTATAAAAGCTATCCTGCTGTGACACATTTACACAATAATTACTTTCATTTACATACGTTCCTATACAAATAGCTTGTATAACACGTCTCATACAAAAAATGGAATTTTTAACAGACCAGAAATAAAATTTCTGGGTTATATATATATATATATATATATATATATATATATATATATATATATATATATATATATATATATATATATATATATATATATATATATATATATATATATATACACTACAGTATATTGTAATATTTATGGAAATACAAATGGTCCACAATATGGATAACAAGATATCAGAACCAATGACTTAAGTCAATGCACCATCCAAATTTCCAAAGTTAAGTACAGTGCAGTATGGAAATACAGAGACAAACAATGCCACTGTACAGTGATATCCCAGTTAGCCGGAAAAATTGGTGCAGAGCATTTCCGGGGATGAGAGATTTCCAGGTAACAAGACGACTCTCTCAAAGCCAGAAAAAATCCCCCATCCGGAATTTTCCGGGTATCGGGAAAAAAAATTTCTGAATTTTCTGAGAAAATTTCAATTCTGGCTATCAGAGAGTTCCGGGTTTGAGGGATTCTGGCTAACAGAGATATTACTGTACATAAATGATTTCTTTTAAATTTGAAATACAAGTAAAAGTGGAGGAAAAATAATAGATGGAAAAAGATATATGAATCAGGAATAAACTACTGTATAGTGCTTGGTCCTCTTTATGTAGGTTCAGTACCAGCCACATGAGAGTTGTTTAAAATATTACAAATAAACTGTATTTACATCTTCAATATCACATTATTGTGAGGGTGAAGGGTAAATTCCTCCAACTTCCTTCCTATAAAAATCATAATTAAATACAGTGGAAATAACATCCATACATCCTTAAAAAAAAAATTTCAACAAATAAAAAATATAGTAAAAGTTGACTTAATACTATTAGTTACTAGAAGTTGTTGCAGCTGAAGTAAATCTAATGTCTCCCTCAACATAAGTTTGGTAGGGACAAGGCACAGGTGCTCATGAGAAGGCACATGGATGCCAGTGGTGAAAGCGAGTCAAAGGACTCGGGTCAGTGCTGGGGTGCCACTGGTTTACTACAAGTGAGATACAGTGTGTTGTTTCTGGCAGGTTCATCTGGATATTTAAACATACAATGCCATCCAATAGAAAATAGCTGAAAACGTCTCACGTACACAAAGAGTATAAGAAGGGGGGGGGGGGTTAAGGCCATAGAGCAGTACTGTACAGTACACGGTAGTAAAAAATACCTCACCAACCGCTGGGGTTACGTTCTAGCATTCTTTCAGGGTTGGTAAAAGTGTGGTTGGCAAAGGCCGAGTCTAATAGGAAATAAAAGCCAAGAGAAAATGACCCCCCACCCGAGACATACCTAAAATATAGTTCAACGTTAAGAATAAGTACAGGGTGAATGTTGTACTTAAAACAATAGATATTATGCTGATAGAAATACCATACAGTACAATGTGTAGGTATTACCCCTTTCAGTTCTACCTATGTACTTCATACACTTGGAACCAGAGCTCTATGTATGTGTGGGATACTTTTTGATTTTCCCTCCCCATTTCAAATAACCTGGAGCATCCATGAGACCTATAATGATGCCATATGTAACCAGCAGTAAGAACACACCTCACGAACTTCACACCTGCTCAGTTACCTTACAAACACCATGGTGGAAGAATGTTTATCAGAACACCTATCTGGCAGCCTTGAATGATACCCGTGTGTCTGGTAACAGAATCATAAATGTGCAGTGACATGGGAAGACAAGATGCAGTTGTGATGGAAACTTGTGATACAGATAAATATGATAATGAAGTTCAGCTTTGAATATGTAAACAAACTGTCAGCTCAGGGATTCAGATTTGACCCATGCAGCACCTGGAAAATTTTACTGGAAACCCCAACTCAAGGAGATATTGGGAAGACTTAATGACCTAAACTATCTTACAGTTAAGGAAATATAGGACTGCAACATACTAGAAAGTCATTGTATAATATGAAGGATGAAAAAACCAAATTGATTTGAAGATGTTATAGAAGGAAGAGGACCTGGGCACCCTAGATTATGACAAATAAGATAAATCAATTGACTGTTGGATCCACCAAACATTCCCACTGTGCTGGGTTTGAAATCTCCTACAGTTCTCATGGGAATCCCCAGATACTTAAAGCTGGACTCCAAGCTTGGTAAAACAGTGGACAAAATACGGATACTACAAAACACAAATGGTAAACTGTGATTGGCGAGGGTATGTACTGTAACCATGTTTCATTGAAGAAGATTTTTTTTAATATACAGTAGATTTTATCCACACAATCAATAACACAGCAGAGCATTAGAGTCAAATATTAAAACACTGAAAATTGACTCAAATGGGTGTTGACTGTCTATGGCCGTAACCCCAAAACATACATCAACACTATTGAGGGACATTACCACCATGTAAGTAAAGGGTTTATTGTATTTGAACATTTTTAACATTATCATCATAACTTAAATGTGACCAACCAGTTGAATGAGAGTTATGTGTACAGTATTAACCTAAGAAAAATGTCATACACATCTTTCAATACATTAAACAATAGCTATCATTATACAGTAAATTTTCATGGACTAAAACAAAACTAATGAGCAATTCAAATGCATATTTTTTCTTGCCTAAACATAATCTAAAATGCCATTTATATACAGTGACTAGTTATATAATTACAATACATAACACTTATACACTACAGCTCCATGTGTTGCAGGAATTTCTTCATTTTGAGTATAAAAAATTAGACAGGAAGCTTTAGAGTATAACTAAAAGAAAAAATGATCTTTGATAGTTATTGTATGAAGTTTTGCAATCAAACATTTTGTACAAGAACTGTGTACTATATCTAATTCTAAAAAGGAATGTTTCTCCCTATCAAGAGTATATAACACATTCAACATAGTACAGTACATTATTTGTCTCCTAGATCACAACAGTGTTCAAAGCTGTATCACAAACACACTTTTATTTGTCCACAGAATATATAAAATATCTTATCTTCTCACACTACTGTACTCACATAAATAAGAACTCAAAGTTAATCATTCTTAGCTTAATGCTATGACTTCTATTTCTCTATACAGTATATGAAAATATCTCCTAACTTTTCACTAAATAAATTTTTTTTTTTTTCAAAGTATGATAACAAGGGTACTTTACATTTGAGAGAAGGTTACTTACATTAAATTAATTTACCTATATAAACACAAAAGGTTTAGGCTTCTCTTCATAACACTGGAAGATCTCACACCACCTGCCTTCTGAACTACTCTACTCTATACTCTACCTATATCAAATTTCAATAAAAATTTTCTGATCACATAAATCACTAAAATGCACATACAGTATATCAGTACTGACTTAAGCTTTACTTTTACTGTACTCATACAGTATATTACTCACAGGGTGAAATAATGCACAATAGCATTTTTCTGTGAGAATCTATAACAACAATGAAAGTCAACATCAACACATATGTCACTTTGTTATGTGCACAAACAAACTGTCGGCCTTATTTGTGACTGTTACTCCGAGTCCTACCAAGTGACTGTACACCAGTAACAGTACACCAGTAACATGTAGGACTAATAACCACCTCTTACTGAAGGCTTCACAGAAGCCTTTTCTGTGACAGTATTATATAACACTCAACTTTTACAGCTAAAACAATTTTGATAAATTGAATATTATGACCTTGTTGCTATATATTGGTACCATTAACTAGGGAACAACTGCTCTCCAACATCATCTCCCAATTTTTCCATGACAGATCAGACTCCTTATAAGGCTTGGGATGCAGTTGCTCACAAAGTGGATTGTACAGACATTTAAACTATGATTCACAATGATGCGAACCATTAGTTCAAAAATTTATTATTTATAAAAAGTTTGTGTCCATTAGCATAGTATTTGACTATGCAAAACAGTGTATACAGTTTTTTAAATTCATTATCCATATATTTGTTTTATTTATATTTGGGTTTTTCTTTTCATTCAATATGCTGCAAATATAAATGTCAACCTTCAATTAAAAAATATATTTTTTAATATGAATTGGTTACAGTAATTCACTTTCAGAGTAACTACTGTGCTAAGTTCATGTGCTGTGCTGTGCAGTGCTCAATCTGCTATTATGGAAGATATTTCAGTCACTGTAAAAACCTTTGGCCTCCCCAATCATTATATTAGTTCATCATTTTCTATGATAAAACCACTAGTAGTCACGGTAATATCAGTGTAAACAGTCACAGGTTCTACACTGACAACATCAGCTTACCTTGATGCCATTATCTGGATGTGTGGACATAAATTCTGGAGTGTGGTGGCAGTATTGATAATGTACTGTACCTGTTATATCTAAACTTTGCCAAGGCTTTCAACAACATACCTCAATAAAAACTAAACATCAAACTGGATGGTACAGCATTTAGGGGAGCTTCCTAGTGTGGATCAGACTTTCATTATGACCACAACCAGTGTGTGGTGATTAATGGCACAAATTCATCATGTGTACCCCTAACAGGTGGGGTGCCACAGAGCAGTGTACTGGGACAATTGTTGTTTGTTTCATAAATGCTATTCCAGATGCTATACACTCCTCCAAACAACAATGAAATGAAGTTTTCAGATATTACCCAGTCAAGTGTTCATACTTGGAACTACCCCGCTAAAGGTCACAGCCTCAGGATGAAGAAGCCATAAGTTCAGAAAATTGTTAAGGCAAACTTTTTCAAACACTGGCACAGGTACAGATACATTCTGGAGCCGGTGCATGCCCAGTACTTGCCAACAGTGCATAACAGAGACATGACTGACCTCCCAAACGGCTAACAAGCCGATCAGTGGCAAAGAGGATAAAGTAAAGTATATTGCTTGTGGTCCTCTAGCATAGTCATTCTAAGAAACAAAATCTATACAATCCATAATTCCAGTAAACTTGAATCTGAAGCTGTACAGCCTCAGGCAAGTTATATTTTAACATTTCTTTATGTTTTTTTTTTTCAAATTCTTTTGTCTGAGACAAAAGATCCAATTTAAAAACACATATAATAATTGTTTCGGTACCTAGAAAGTGAAGCAATCAGTTCCTAATATTGCACTACCGTATATCACTTAAAATCATACAGAACCTTACCGACTGTAGCTTCTACATTGCTGTTTCTAAGGGTTGACTTTGTGACCGCCCTTGAGAGAAATAATCTTGTGAGTCTTCAGATGGTGTACTTGACTGTCTGCCTGAGAGTACATCTGCAGAAACATAATGGAAAGGTGGTGCTTGATCCCTTGGTAGAGTAGCTGTGAGGTGTGGGTCTTGAGTGTCTCTTGACAAGTCCTTTTTCATCTCTAAAGTTGAGTCAGTAGCAACACTACTTACTGCCAGCTGTGGGTTGGATCCACGAAGAGACTCATTCTTAAAGCTTGATGTTGTACTGGTGGGAAAACAAGAAAATATAAATAAAATTAGTATCAATAGATACTGTGTTTACATCTGACCCAGTGGTTCCTCCTGAGGTGCCTGAAGAAAACCAGAGTTTACCTATGGAGACATCATCGCAATACACTGTACATGACCATTACTCTTGGTAAACTTTACTCCTTTACCAACTTATTGGCAGTGGACAAGTGCTATTAAGTTTAGTATTGTTCCATCCTTTTTAATTAATTCTCATGACAAGCACAGCCTGAACCTCCAAAGCCAAAGGTTCTATTGATATGTTCTAACCCCCAGAGCACATTATTCTCAACACAGTTACTATTACACAACATTGTCACACCACATATAAGGTTCCAAATGTTAGTACCCAAATACAGTCTCTCCTCGACTTACAACAATCGACTTACAACAACCCGGACATACGACAGCCATGGTCATATAAAATATTTTTCACGTTACGTATTTTCGAGTCCCGACGTTAGTGATCGCGCTGTACCGACAATTTTTTTTTTTTAATTCCCTTTAAAATGGCTGGCAAGCATAAAAGTGATAGTTCTCGTGGTGCTGAGAAGAAATAGAGACCCATTTTAGAATTCTATGTATTATTTTCGCTTTTTCGACTTACGACCAATTCGACTTACAACCTGGTCGTCGGGACGGAACCCCGTCCTAAGTCGAGGAGAGACTACATAATACAGAAAACAGCAATATCCTCATCCTTCCTTGCATGATATTCCAACTCTTATCTAGTACACAGTTATGTACTACAGTACTTTGAAAAGTTATGAAAGTAATGATATGGTACCTGATATCTTTCCTGTAACTACTTTACAGCAAAAATTGATGAGGCTTTATATACTGATGAATTTTAATTTTCTAAAAGAATAATTGAAATACTTATTTTGTGCAGTGAAATTTTCTATGTAGAAACTGTTAAGTGAGACAGGCAGCTACAGAAATAAGTTAGTGGAAGAAGCACTTTCAGGTATAATTTAAGTGTCATTTGTATCTTCCTGACCTACCAAGGGTGAGGCCTGGTGCAAGAAGGGAACACTGTATCCTGGTTTATGCTGTAACAGTCTTAAATGAGCTTCTACTTTAGAGGCTGTGGAGGCTTACTGAGAGTCCACTTCAGGATTTAACAGATTTTCATGGAATAATTTCCTTCAAGCGAATATTCAGGATATCTGTCAGTTGATTGTTCCGTGAGAGTAATTATCATAGGTAAATAGGCCTTGTCTAGGAGAGAACCTAGATTTCTCCAGAGTACAGAAAGAATACATCAAGTTCTTCAGTAAGGTAATGATCCCAACACAAAGTTATACATTTACACTATACATTATGCACAAAAAAGCAAGACAACACAACTTATATATAAAATGTATTATTACTCTAAAAATCAATAAACTTGGTAATAAGAGGCACATGGATAATTTGGTATGATTTTAACCCTTAATCACTGTGGCTGATAACATGTATGGTTTCAGTTCTTGATTATGTACTGAACCTTCAAGATGTTTCCATAGGCTAGAATCTGATGAAGTGGAGGAGTCGCCTTGGCTCCAGGCGGTACTGCACATTCCGTCCACGTCATCATTTTTTAGTACCAAAACTTGTTGACAAAGATGAATCTTAGTGATGATGCTGTACCATGGATGCTGCTATCCAATTTACCAACTTTGACAGCACAGACTCAACACATGGAGTCTCTTGTAATGAGTGACTGTGACAGGTTATATTTCAGACTTCACTGTGTATACAGTACTGGGAATGAAACACATTGTGCATGATGAAAATACAGGTACGTACAGTATTTCTGGCTCTGTTGTCAAAACAGTTTTGACTCCTCATACACAGAAAGCAGATGTACGGTACTCTATGTTGACAATTGGTACACCTGCCCCAACCTCTCTCTCTCTCACTACCTTTTCGCCAAAAATTATTGGTGCATGAAGAACTAGAAAACAGCCAAAACTCCCTGTGGTCAAGTGTGGTGAGTAAATGATACAACACATTCTGTACATCAAGTGGTGTGACAAGAGAGTTGTGCACATGCTCTCTACTGCTCATGAAGGAGGTATGTAAGACAGTTACAATAAAGACTGACAACAAGAAGTTGTGAGGCAGCCCTTGACTGTTAGAATATACGGTAATAAGAAAATGAGGCTGATGGACAAAAGTGACATGTTCCTCAGGAGTAAAGAATGTGTAAGGAGTGTGTGGAGTGATGCTTCAAGTTCTCATTACATATGCTGAACCTGTGCTGATTTTGCATCAAATGGACACTGCTAGACTTTTGTAAAAATATTGTCCACCAAATGACTGAAAGGTATTATCCTGGCTGACATCATATCAAAGGCCAAATTGGAACACATGCCTTACACCTGGTGGTAAGGCACTTCTTTGAACCTCTCAAGGGATGCAGATATGCATACAAGTGTCAACATTATGATGTCCCTCTCTTAGTCCACCCAGGGTTTGAGGTGCACCACACTGAACAGTGAGGAGTTCATGTAAATATTCTGTGGATACATAGTGGTGTGTCAGCTGATGCACAGTGTGTGTGTGTGTGTGTTGGTCTGGTGTGGTGGGGCAAATAAACTCCTCATTCCAGTTTTTTATGTTTAGTTGAAATTATCAGTGCATTGGAAACTTATTTTTACTTGAATATTAATGTTGTATAAGGAAAGTGTATTATACAAGACCACTGGTGAATATATAGAAAAAATATAACATATAAAAGAGAAGAAAAAATATATTTCCATTGTGTGTGACTGTGACATGACTGTGTGCTCCACCTTGCACCAGAACACACAATATTACCCAACACAACGACTGAGCCAGGAGGGTGCCTGCACCCACACCAGGATACATCCACCTATTCTTGATCACAAGTGAGTACAGTACAGTACTCTGTTTACTTATACAGTTTAAATATTACTGTATAAGTAATTATATTTCAATTTCCTAAAACCTGTCACAGCAGGTAGGCCTAGAAATTATACAGCCAAAGTGAAAAGAGTTAAGCAAACCTACAACACAGTACAGCACAGTACAGTATTATGTTCTCACTAACTTTATTTTATTTGATACAAACAAAAGAAAGATAAGCTTCTGACTCTAAATGAAAATATTAATAAACAGAGAACAAAATTTAATTAGGAAATCATATCTTGTTTCTCTCTACTTTTAGTTGTTATGAAATCTGTTGATGCTTTTAAGTGAAACTTTTTTAAATACAGTACTATCATAAAAATTATAACAAAGTTAATTTTTTTAATTCTTGGGTACAATATTTACAGTTCCATCTGCTGAAAATAATAACTTGTTTTTCAGGGTTTATGTTAATTTAGCTTTACACAGATCCTGACCTAGTTTTGGCGCTGTATTACTGTAGCATCTTAATCGTAATAAAGCAACACGGACTCTCATATTCAAAGCAACACCCAACATTTATACTTGTGAGTTTAACGTTACCCGTGCAAGGACAGGGGTCGACCAAAGGTGCACATGTAGGGATTGTTGACACTGTATGAATGGCTGTGGAAGGAAAATTGTCATTACCATATACCAAGTGAGTGGAGATTATTTCATCCTATCTATTTTAAGTATTTGTATTAACTGCATACGCTTTAAGACTACTGTACATTATGTCTAAGAGATGTGTGGAAATGTTTTACCTTTACAGCAGATTCTGTCTCATGCATTCTGCTGATATGCAAAGAACTGACCAATAGAGTAAACCTCATGCATCCTGCATGCAGTAGCAAGCAAAAGAATTGTAATATGTAATTTTATCCTTCAAGTACTGAAGCCCTACCTTGGAACATGTGAACCCTTCCATATAGGGATCGGAGGTAGGGGTCTATCCCCAGGTGGCCGCGGTAGTGGTACATACTGATGATTTGTTGAAGGCAGGCGAGGGGCATGACCATAAGTAGAGAAAGTAGGTTGGCCACAACTGGAAATGTAAATACAAGGCTTCGTATACGCAGAGGGAGTGTCACTAAGGCATTCAAGAATGAATTACCACCGTGTTCCTCTGTGTAAGTAGAAGACAGCTTCTTGGCAACATCCAGTATGTGAAGTAGGAGATAGTTTTAGATAAGAGGGTATAAGAAAAACTGACAAGATAAAGGAAGCATACTGTAGATATACCAAGTTGAGTACACCAATGAAAGAGAATAACTGATCAAGCAATTAACAGTGGGATGCTCAGCAGAACAGGAGCTTCTAGCATGGATGACTTGAGGTTCTGTACATAGAAAAAAAGTGATGTTTCACAATTCTGAACAGCTTGACAGCTGGTTTATTCTGTGTGACTTCTATAGAATCAAACCTAAATCTTTATCAAAGTGTGAATGTGTTAACCAATATTGAGTCTTCTGCTTTAATAAATAATTGTATTCAACCTGAGAGTTGAGAGCAGAAGTGTACACAACTCAAGAGAAACTCTAGTCTCTGCCATATTGCTTAGTTAAAACTTAACCAATTAACAAGCAAAAAAAGCATACTTATATATAAGTTAACAAGACAAAAAACATGCAGTTTTAAGAGTTTATGTAATTGCATACAACAAATTTAACTGAGAAAAGCCTCATATATCTAGTAATAAGGAGCAATAAAAGTTCTGTGCATCTACTGCATATAACAGCAGACACGACAGCATATATGTAGTCTAATGATCCTAAAATACTCGGCCTCTTGGTTAAACTGTGGCTGAGCTGGCATATACTGTAGTGAAGGTTACATGGTGCTATTAACGCCTGGCTGCCAAGAGGTTAATAATATCAAAGACTGAATCAACATTATCAAAAATAATTACAGAGTAGAAGTTCTATGATAAGAGGTCTATGATAATGTGGCTATGATATATACGAGTATAACTTTAGAGGTGAAACTAGATATTATTAAATGACATGAGCGAGCGCAGTGAATAAGCAACAGTTAATGAACGACCCTTAGAGGGGAATAGGACACATATGCTTCTTAATAAATCACTCATTACCACAACTTAGATACAGTAATTATTTGATGTATATTCTTACATTTATTACATGCTTACTGTTTTAATGTCATAAGAAGGGTAAAAGCGAGCTTAGATGGTGATGGTGGCCAGTTAATACGGCTGTGGTGATGGTGGCTAGTTGATGTGGCCGTGCTGATGGCAGGCCATTTGACGAATGGCTATGAGATAGAGATTCTGCACATGCCTTTATATTGACAGTATTTTACATTGCATTTCAAATATATTTCTATGTATGGTATTTCATATTACTTTTATCAATTTTTAAGTGCTTCTGAATGAAAAAATCAGCTCAAGTACTGTACTGTACCCTGAAAAATCACGATCAGAATGCCATGCTCAAGTAAGTAAGCTCTCCAAACTCATTAGAATATGTAGAGGTGATGCAAGCTTACCAAATGATGCCACCACGTGTATTATATAACCCTTCAGCTGTGGCTTGTGGTAAATTTGTCGCACATCGAATGCACAATTTAAACAATAAAATTAAAGCTTTTAAAAACCATATTTTCATATTACCATAATAAAGACATGCATGCAGACTAATGGGAAGCAGAAGAGTTAATAGCTTATCTACCTTGATTAAGCTGTGGTGAAGGGCTGAGTGTCGTCATTGTGGTGGTTTAGACACGAAAATTCTAAGTTCTTAAAACCCATATTTTCATCTTACATAAGTAAAGATATGCATGCAGACTAATGGGTAACTAGAGAATTAATTATTTACTCTATCTAGATGTGTGTACTGTACTGAGGTATGGCTAGAGGTCTGGGGGTGGTGTAGGGAGACATGGAGGCCTATGGGACACAGTCTATAAAAAATAGATGCCAAAATCTTGGCAGCCTGCTGGCTAATAGCAGCCTCTATAGTGGATCACTCTACCAGCTTTTCAGTGTAAGTGTTAAACAGACCCAATTTAATAATGGGGATAGATATACTACACTGGATACAGTACACATAAAAATGTGAGACCACCTGAAGATTCACCCACCAGATTATTTCATCTCACAATCAACCATCCTAATTCTAACCTAACTCTCCGACCGTCCTTGGGAGCACTAGGACATTTAATCATCGACCTGTGGTGTAATGGTCACCATGGTCATCTTGCAAGCAAGTGAACCCAGGTTCAATCCCCAGGCAGGGTGAGATTATGTGCAAGTTTCTTTTCACCATTTGCTTCTGGTTACCCAGCAGTAATTGGGACCTAGATGTTAATCAATTGGTGAATCATGTTCTGGGATAATGGTTAGCCAGTGCAGTTAGCGAGCTGCCCGGTCTTCTCGGATTATTCTTCACACTGGGTCTTACGGCTCTTTGGCTGTTGTTGTGTTGGAGACAGCTTCTACATCATAAACAAATTCATGACTATGTGGCCCTAGGGCAAACCTGGCCAGCCTAGAACATGAGGGGCAACCATTATTTATTGATTCATCACGTGAAATAAGCTCTACTGTACTTAGTATGTGATAAGCATTGCACCAAAAGATAAGATTCACTGCATAACATTTACAATAAGGAATACTGTTTATATGCTAAGCCTCATATAATTTTAACAACGTATTATACAGGGGACACTTTAGAAAATCTATATTGTACATCAGTTCTAAGAAAAATTCTTATCTACACATCAGAGATAGATATAATTTTACGTAAGAGCAGTGTAAATGTGATAGATGGTAGAAGCAAAATAGCAATTAAGATCTTGTGGTAGACAAACACCGTACCTCCTTCATAACCAACTAAAGTTTCAATAATTATCACTACAGATGAGCATCACTTTATAGACACAGTTTACCTTCTGACTCTCTAAGACCATAACTTGTGCTTAATAGTTTCATATGCCTTTAAGGTTTCATGTACCTGTACTAATGTTATAATTGTAACACAGCTGACATACCCAAAGGAAACAATGTTACCAACAACAATTAACATACCTGGAGGGAGGAATGTTATTGTTAGAACCATTCCACTGCTGTGCGCGAGCTTCAGCAGTGAAGGTGCCGTTTTCTCGGGAGTTAAATGAGGAGTTGTCCCTGAACCCGTGATTTTGGAAGGTCATGTTAAAACTTGGGTGTAATAGTTCTGTCACACATGCATTTTCTAGGTTAGGGTCTGCAGAGAATCTGTAATGAAATTATGAAATAACTTTTGAGACTCAAATGCTGAATTTATCACTACAAATTTAATGATGGGGTGTTTAAAATCATTACAGTATTTAACTTCCCAAGGTATGGAATGAACCAAAGAAATGAATAACTGAAATATATTAACCAAAAGTAAGTCTAACAACATTTTTTTGTGTTATATAACAGCAATCAAGTCAAATACTGTACATACAAGGTGAAGGGGGACTCTACTCCTTTAAAAAAGAACATACAAAATGCATCTTGCATATGAGACTTCCATGACCAGTAAGTTATAAGAGGGAGGTAAGCAACAATTTCTACCAAACAAGAGACCGCCCACAAACTCAACAACAGCATTGACATAGCCAACCACTCATAAAGTATATACAGTACAGTACAGTACTTTACATGTAGCCCTCGATATATGCATGTTGTATATGACAATTGGTTGTTATGCGAGGACCCTCTCTGAAAAATTCATCAATTACAGTACAAGAAAATTTTGGCTTTGTGCAAATGAGCGTGCGAGAGCACGTTCCATATCAGTTACAGTGTGCCTCTCAGCACCACAGCATCTTGGCCGCTTCTCAGCTGATGTTAGTGAGTGATGCATGTGGGTGTGGTTGGGACTCCACACATCCTGTTGCCACATGCTGACACTGGCAGATCTGGGCTTCTTGTGTGCATTTTGTGGTCTGTATAACTACCATTCCAGTACTGTACTTATTAGAGCTATGGCTTCCAAACATCCTGCAACTTCATCTCCCATTGTCTCTAAAACACCCTTCAAACAGAAGAGGAATGAATTGGTGCTAGAAATGAAGTTAGATATTCTAAAGTGTGTGGGAGCTGGTGAGGGACTCCTTTGTGCCTGCAACCTTGGTAAGTCTTCACTACTGTATACACTCTCAGCACAAAGATGGTGGACAGGAAGAGCCCTTTATAGCCAGTAAGGGCTGGTGAACCACTACTATCACCTCTTGTACTGGGCTTATAAGTCTGCTTTTGTTTGTGGGTACGAGGGTTCTTTACAAACAGTTGCTATTTTGACCTAAAACTTCATTTAAATCCATTTTTTATTACTGTATATACTTGTGTATAATTCGACCACATTTTTGGGTAAAAAAAGCCTGATTTTTTCATATACTGTATCCAGTATCATGTATGACTAAAACGTAGCCTTTGAGAAATACTAGGAATAATCCTAGGCATATTTTGTAGCAAGACACCAAACTTTCACCAACGCATCTTGGCCGTAACTACCACCACCAACAGATGACACTATGAACAGTGTTATCAACTCTGAAACTAAATTCCCACCAAAGTTACCAACTCCTATACTGCATAAAAATTTTGTTAGACACAACCATAAAAATAGTTTTAGCAGTACATTTAACATCAAAACTTCAAATTGTAGGCATATACCCTGTACAGTAAATAGCAATAAGGAAAGCATATAAATAGCAATGATGAAAGCATAAAACAATATACAAGTTAGTGTATATACTGTGGAAGGCTCAAGGACACTCACCATAGCAACACAGCCCCCAGCTGGGACGCTGCCTCTCTGCCTCCCCTCAGTGCTCAGTGCCATGGGAGGTGTACAGTACAGTATAATGCAGTAATGGTGGGATATGCCTTTATAACACTCAGCACTTAATATGAATTTGAAAGGATATTTTTGTCTAAATAAACTTTAAAAAAGGCAAGAAATTTGAAATAGTTTTATTATTGGTAGATCCTGTGGTGTGATGATTCACATTATGGTAGATCTTATCAAAAAGTTTTCAGAACAAGATATTTAACTGTGAGGAATTAGATAAAACAACATATACAGTATATATATCTAGCTAAAGCAGTCTCATTACTTAAAACATCCTCCGATGTCACTTACCTATTATCAAGCTCTGAGGTGTAACCGGGGGGAGACTGTGTTGTTTCCTCATACACCACAAAGCTTGGATCCTCGTCTACTGAGGAGTTGAAGTTAGACTTGGATATGGAGTCAAAAGATCCATGGAGACCATTCATTCTAGATGCTCCTCCAACTGAGCCTCCACCCTTCATGGGCACCGCTCTCTGTGGCTCCTGTAAGGTGTGGGGATACTGTACAGGTGTTTGTTGAAGTCACTTTTATATAACTATTTCTAACTGTCAACGATTAAACATATTCTTTAAACTGTACTGTACTATAATGTACCTTGTAATTTAATACAGCACATTCAAATGCAAGGATGCTTGAAAGAAACTTGAATGATGTAGCTTACAGTGCTTTCTATCAAAGTACAACAGATCAACCCCAACAGAACTTGCCTTTAAATGACACAAATTTGTCATTTATCAATAATTTCTATTGAAAGATAAAAGCGACTGGAAGTTTGAATATAAAATTTACATGATACTACTCTTAGTAAAGAAGCATCACAAGAACTGATCAACAAAAACCTGGTAATGAACATGGCCCTGAGATGTGATGCTGTAAGAATGGAAGTACACACAGCCATACTTACCTCCGAATTTAAAATAAATCCTAATACCGGTAATTGAAAGTAAGTGATAGAGACATGAGTGTGGAGCAGCCATACAATAAGGTGCACCAAGAGGTTCGGTTGAAAGTGAAAAAGATTTACGAATAAAAGAAAGTTGCTTGATGGAGTGAAGGCATTCTACAGGAGCAGCAGTAACTAAGGTTGGGTCACATTTAACAAAGGACCAAATGAGAGCTTTAAGACAAGAATATGTAATGTCTTCAAAGTTGTTCCTCTTATTCATGGATGGAATAGTAATGTTAATCAAGGCAAGAGCACTGAGGGAGGAACAAAACTGAGGCAGGAAGGTTGGATGTGACCTCTGGTGTAACACTATAGTTTTCACTAAGAGTGAACAGGAATGGCAAAGAGTAGTGAACGAGTGAAACAAGTTGTGTAAAAGAAGTATATTAAAGATAAATACAAAGAGAAGTAAGGTAATAATTTTGCGAGGAAGTATTCTAACATGGTGGACTTAAGTAAGCCAAACAGGTTATAAAAATTTAGCAAATCCAAATGAAAATTATAATAAGGAATAAGATACTTGAGGAAGTTAGAAAGATGTCCAGTACAGTATCTGGGAGTGAGGTTAAGTATGGTATGGTACTGAGATGAAAATAAGGAGTAAACAGTAAAGAGGAGAATGGTGAAGGAGGGAGTAACACCCAGGGAAGGGAGATAATCTGGAAGACAAAGGAGGAACTAAAGAGATACCATAATAATTCCTACATTAATTCCTGGCAGGAAAATATGAACTTGGGAAGGAATAGAATGTATCCTAATTAAAAAGTTTGGAGTGTAAATACCACACAATATCTGGTTTAAAAGTTATCTAAACAAATATTGAAATTTTTCCTCAACAAGAGAAGAGAATTTGTCTCTACTCAAAGTCTATCATCAACCTAACACAAGTATTAAGGAACTGTTGTATAAAACCAGGAGGCTTAACCCAGAGGAATGTATTTAGTTCGTGTAATTTCATGTTTACTTTGTTAAGACCACATATCTGGGACCCACCTCGATGATCCTCCTGCGTCCTATATCACTGAACCCTCCACTGGTGGTAGACAAGGCAGATCTGTTGGAGCGGATAGATGCACGAATGGAGTTCCTGCGCATTATGCGTTCCTTGCGTCGATTTCGTGACTTACACACCCAGCAGGAGACACAGGCAGCAACAAGGATCAAGCAACCAAAAGTCACTGTGATGGCTGCCACAGCCAATGGGTCAGAGGTCCAGGCAAATTTATCAATAGTTTTATCTGGGTCTGCAGATACAAGTGTAGACATTAGTAGGATGTATATTATATCAAAGCTTTCACAATATTCTCATATGTTTTCAGTTTCATACTAAATTAAATGTAGGGAGGATATGCTCAAACAAGGTTTCAATACACTTATACATGATTTGTAAACAATAACTCACCAGATTCACAAATGAAGGGAAGATTCAGGTTGCAGTCGACAGAACGGACTTGCCTATAGACGAAGGCAGCACATCCACGTATAACATCCAAGTGCTGCACCCACACCATATCATATTCCCACAGATACTCAGGCTGCTGGTCTAACAACCAATACTATAACAAAACAGATATAAAATTTCTTAATCTATCCCCAGAAGACTTAAGGTCTGAAATGAAATGGGAGTTGTGGCTTAGATACTGTCAACAGTTTTCTTCCTCATGTTGTGTGGGATCAACCAGTGCTGGCACCACACTCTTCAACAAGCCAATTTCCCTTCAACTGTAATTGTAGCAAACTGCAGCACCAACTAAACCATTCACTTTACCAGGGACCTTGATGGTGTTTCTCATTCACTGCCTCACTCTCACCATTTGATATATAGTAAGCCCAAAATACCTACTGAACTTTATTTACATGACCTGCAACTTTATTATTCAACACTTTGATTTACTTCATGATTCAAATATCTTAAAAGGTATTTAAGAGCATCATACCTGCACTTCCCAGTACCACTTCTGTAGGAATGGTAAGGAGGCATTGTCCCTTTTGCAGAATGCCTTAGCTTCTTCATGTGTGACTGGACCACCAATGTACAGATAACAGGCATCTCCGACTCTAGTGTAGCCTGGCTCACACCCTTGTAGTAATGAGTAGTTGTTCAGCTTCCATTGACTGTCAAGGAGAGTCATGTTTACTTAAGATCACAATTTCTAAAACCTGAAATCATCCAAACTGGTGATTGTATGAAGATATGAGAAACGAGACATATTCTGACGAGTTTCTACAAACACCATCTGTGTGACGTTGTAGTTTACAAAATTTCAGGCCCTGAGTGACATAGCAAGTAAAGCTCTCATTATTTTTAATCAATAGTAATCAATTTAATTCCTGACCTCTGCCAAGCATAATAATGAGCAATGAAATGCATAATAATAAGTAATGAAATGTATAATAATGTAAAATATCAAAAGTAGGATTTTATACCTATAATCAACACGAAGAAGAGTCACATCGTCTGTTTTATCGTGGATACGTCCGGACACGGCCACGGATGTGTTGAACCCCCACCAGTTGTCTCGAGCATCAATGGGAGTCTTCCAAACATCTGACCTGTAACACCGAGCAGTGGGCATAACTTAACCTTAGAACAATTTCTTGGTGAGGAAATAGTACCTTAATAATTTTCCTGGCTCAAGGCTGCTGAGATAGTGGTACGGTACATGAATAACTAAAGTTTACTGCACTTAAGACCAATGAAAGGTGCAAAAAAAAAGAGGTTAAGTGAAGATAAAGTTCTATTACAATATAATACTGAATATCTCCATTCACCATTGTAAGCTGTTACTTCTCAATAACTGTATATATCTACAGTATGTATGTTTAAACTATCATAGAGGAATAACTAAATCCTAATTTACTTCACAAGATTGATAAAGTAATTCAATGTCCTTAAAAGTAATCATTGTCATAATTTTCTTTACTCTGTCACTGTTTAGGTAATTAGGTTCAGAAAGATTCCCCAAAGTTGTCAAATATCCAGAACAAAAAGTCTTAATTTGATCTTTTATTTGACTTTAACAAAATGAAATGAGCAGACGGTTCAGATATATAACAGGAATTAATCTTGAAAAGGATGTTAAACAATGAAAATTTAAATATTCTGCATATCATAATGCCATGGTGTGTATAAGTTACCTAAATTATAATAATATGAATCAGGCACAAGTGGAATGTAACACCAGCATGAAGGAAAGTTTGGCACACATTTCAAGGCCACAGGAAGGATTATAGAATGTTACAAAAGAGGGAAAAACATATGACTGTCAACAATAACTATCAACTGTAGTTATCTTTTGAGTGAAATGGCTCATTTACTTTTGTTCTTCTCACTGATATTAAAACTTGTCTTTACATTGTTATTAAAGCATATAAATTGTACTGTAGTATTGTTACTTCGTCTCTATTTAATTTTCAGTTTATCGTTGGGAAATTTTAATAATACATGTACATTATATTACTTGTGAACAATACTGTACAGGTGAACAGTAAAGGTGAACATTTACTGATAAGAACATGCAGAGTCCAAAAACTTCCAAAGGTGGGATTGTACATAATACTACAAGAGAATTACAAACTACAGGTGCACACAAGGTAAATATCTCCTACAATGACAAGCCAATTTCATTTAGAGCCAGGGCAAGAGAGACAAATGCTTTCTATAATTTTGTCTTCTAGTGCAACATAACATCCCCTATAATTTTGTTCCTCAATGGAGTATCATGTAAAATATCCCCTTCTATATTTAATACATTACATCCAAGAGATTATCAAGTACACAAAAGTACAAACTCTCACCAATGGCTCATTTCATTTTGGTTAGGTTATGTTAGGTTTGACTAGGATAGGTTAGGTAGCTACTGACCTCTCATCAACCATTTCATCGTAGGTGTCCACTTGGGAGCATTCCGTGGAAATGTTGCAGCGTCTGTAATCCACAAGCAGGCATGCAGTGGTGTGTTCATCAATATATACATGCACTTATCTAACCTCAAGAAGAACGGCCAGTAACTCATGCCAAACTAAAGAGTAGTTGTGCTGTACCCATCATGAGATTTATACTGAGGTGCTTCTAAATAATATGTGGTGAGTGAAAAGTGTCAAGGAGAAAATATAAAAAGCTAATAACCCTAAGATTAAAACAACTACAATACAAAGAAGCAAAACTAATAAGAGCACCGACCCAAAAACTCTTGTTTATAGTCATATCTTATGTGTTGAACTGGGTGAGGGACCTTCATGTGTAAATAAAGCAAGTTAATGGAAAGTGATGGCAAAAATGGGCAGGTAACTGAGGAGCTGGTAATACTTCATCCATAAACAGTCTTGAGACACATCTACAGTATCTTGAGGTCCTATCTTACACGTCCATAGAATACTGTACAGTACAGTACCTCTCCCACACACTGTTGGCAAGTACTAGGTACATATAGTACTGGATAAGAATGTATCTGTACCTGCACCAGTCGTGAGCAAAGAAAACAGGTACAGTTATGTTTTCTATGGCCGGGTTGAAGCAAGAGGCACAGTACAGTAAGGTATAGATGCTTTGGCAAAACTAATGAGTTAATGTTATTATTGTTTTACATAATATAGAATTATTATCCTTAAAATATTATTTTAGATTTGACGGGTGCAGCTATGAAAATCTGATACATGACATAACCTGGCAGTTATTCCTTATTCACAGGAGGTGATCAACATCATCATCACTGACCTAATGTTGTCAATTGTATGACTTTTATCTTCTTCATGGGAAGCAAACTTTTACAATTTAATTCATTTGACCAGAATAATCTAATGTAATTTTGATGTACCTAAAGTACTTAAGATTATACAAATAATTACTTCAGTTATTATTGAAATCAAGCAATTTGTACTCCAGTATAATGCTTTTCCATCCATTTAAAGTTACCAAATCCATGAAAGAAATTTGTCTTAATGGTAAGAGAAAATATTGTATATACAAGTATGTACTGCAGTGTACCAACCACTTTCTATTGTCCAATTAGATAAGCTCCTGAAATGCTTGATATAATCCTTTACCTTCTTCTACACTGTAGCAGCATCCTAAAGCATACAGAAAACAATTGAACATGCAAATCTATTGTTCCCTCTGAGTCGACATGACCTTACCTACTGAGTCCAGACCTGTGCGTGGGCAGTCAAGGAGGCGTGCGAGGTGCATAAAGTAGTGTGATTAGAAATACATATTTTTCTTCGCCCTAAGAGTCATGTTTAGAAAATAATCTCAAGTATTTTTACGTTCTTAAGTTTGGTTCCAGGAAACAATCATTGAGTTCAACTTTGCTTGGAGTTGAACCACAAAGAGAAAACTGAGCCTGCCACTTTTATCCTTATACAGTACTGTATTCCTCTAGAGATAATCCTCTACACAACACAGTCTCCTGCTGTCATAATAACTGCTATATTGAGGAGCTACAAAACAAACAGTACAGGTAATTTATAAAAATACTGAACTTATTCCAATCTGCTAAGCTAATTTCTTAATAAAAACAGCTACTGTACATAGATACATGAGATAACTTAAAACTAAAATACATTTTTTTTCAATTAAACAAATTAGAAACTAAAAAGTCAGTTATTACATTAGACATAAAGATAAATATAAAACTCAAATACTATATAAAGAAGTGTTAATGTGACTTACACAGATTCATTGACAGCGACAAGTTCATAAGCATTGTCCAAGTTGTAGAAGACATTATCTACAAACTGTTGTCCAGCGCTGCCAGCTATGATGGTGCCTTGGTAAGTTGGGTCCATGGCCATGTTCCTGTTGGCACAAGATTTATACTTTATGACCTGATGAGGAACTATACACAGTATTTATTTTTCTGTCAAGTATATTGCTCTTCTGAGTTAATGGGTCTGGAGAGATCCACTTAGGTCATCCAAAATATTTCTCTCAATGATTTAAACAGCACTACTTATAATAACAATTATTCTCTCATAAAAACTTTCTGCAACAAATCTGAAACTTTCAAGATAATGGAACAAAACACCACAAATAAAGCTTAATTTACTACAGTGTGGAGGAATCATTTGCCAAGTATTGGATACTGTAGATAACATTACCACAGTAGCATCTGGTTACTCAGGACAAGCATCCATGTACAAAATCTTATCCATATTTTGTGGAATCATTTATATCCTGTTTGGTAATTCTCATATTCAAAACATGACAGAATAAGGTACAGATATTTAACCCTTTTACAATGATGATTTTATTCAGCTCAGAGGTGACCAGTACACAAAGGGTTAACAGTCACTTCGGCTTCTTTAAGTTTCACAGATTTAACTGGGATAATTAGCCCACTTTTTCAGCTCCGAAAGGACTTATTTCATGAAGCATTATAATCTGGTATAGATGGGAAAAAACACAGCCTTTCAAGGTTACAACACTCACTTGGCAAAACTGTTATGAGATGTAGTCTGGTACACGGGCAGACGGACTTTCTGGAAGCCATAGATGTCTAAAATGTGTCGGCCAATGTTGCTGTGAAGGTAATTATGAGTGAACACAGACACCACCTGCAAGGCAGTTTAGTATTAATTTTCTGGTGATATTTCAGATATACTGTACATATAATACTGCTTCTGTGTTGATGATAAGTTCATACATCATGAGGAAGGATATGTTTAAATATCCTTTAAATCATAAAGTATACTGTACTGTACTGTATTACTATGATGATAACAACTGCAAGGTTTATACATTATACATGAAAGATATATTGATTACTTTGAGATATTAATGCATTTATGTAGAGTCAACGAGACAAAAGCCCTGAAGAAGCTTTGTCATGAAATCCAATGAAAATTATGTTATGATGGAATATAAGAACAACTTACACAAGATTGAGATACAAAAATATGATAATTTTCCTCATCTCTATATTCTGATCATTGGTAGACTATAATAATTAAGAATTTCCTAAGCAATTCCAGTAATTAAAAATACTTACCTAGACTATCAATTATCAAACACTTAACAAAATGTTCTCCTTAAATTGTTCTTTAAATGGAGATAAAAGCCAAATGATGAGAACCATAGACAAACTAGCATAAAAATCAATGAAACTCATAAACATGTTAACATAATGTCTGCTAACCTGAGCTAAGGTGATGACGTCATGGTACGGTGAGTAAGACCAACTGAAGTCATTATAGGCTATGAGTGCGTGCTGGTATGCCGAGTTTTCCTTGGAGGCTATGAAGAGGGCCGGCCAGTGAAGAGTGTCCTCAAATAGGTTGTTGGTGACGTTGGCTTGCAGCTTCGTCGCAGAACCCATGGATCCAGCATTAATGTAAACGCCTCCAGTATTGTTGCGCACCACATTATTCTGTTGCGATTATCAACACGTAAGACTCTTCGTGTAAATTAGAGACAAATATCAATAAAATAACATGAGTTTGGAAGAATAAACAGTACAGGTAGTAGGAGAAAGTTTACCTATACAATACTGAATGCATATAATGTTGTACAGGAATGAGTAAATGTAAAGTGGTGAAAATAAGGTGGACAGGATAATGAAATATTAGTAAGAGACATTTAGAAGAGGTGAGGTGTTTTAGGTCTTGAGGAGGTGAGGTGTTTTAGGTCTTGAGGAGGTGAGGTGTTTTAGGTCTTGAGGAGGTGAGGTGTTTTAGGTCTTGAGGGGGTGAGGTGTTTTAGGTCTTGAGGGGGTGAGGTGTTTTAGGTCTTGAGGAGGTGAGGTGTTTTAGGTCTTGAGGAGGTGAGGTGTTTTAGGTCTTTCAGAATGTGCTATGTGGCAGTGAATGGAATAACACATGATGGACTGACTCACATGAGGAGCTGAAGGAAAGAAAGTAATAGATGCTTAGTGAATGTTTATGTTAAGTTAATTGAATCAAAGATGGTTATATTATACTCACTTTTCAACCCACTGACTTATCAAGCTATATTTGAGTCTTTCTCTACTGTACTTTTACTTTGCTTTGCTTTAATTTACTTTACTTCATCCTCTTGTCTGCTTACTCACTTAACCCAAGCATTTGGTTATACGTACTGTACTGTCAATATAAAGAAGCAACATTTATTTAGGGTTGCCGGGACAAATACAAACACACATTATTTACTTTTTTATTCCTAAATAAATAAACAAATACTCTTCTCCAACTAGAGAATAAAAGAAAAAGATAAAAGTGTATAACAGAAGCTCAATGACAAACCTTGATATAAACATCCTGCATATTCTGAAGGTCTAGGTAAACAGCTGCTCTAGTAGTAGTGAAATTCGCATAGAGTTGTCTCCCGTTGTTCTCTAAGCGGCTGTATGATAGACACATCCATGGGTGCACCTCCCCAGCCGTGGCGGTAAAGAAGGCACCTTCCGCGTTGTCATAATACTCATTATATGTAAAGTTATGCAGAATGTTTCGATCTGTTAAAAAAAAAGTAATAAATTTCCTATTTTCCTTAAATTTACATAATTCTGGATAATAAAATATAACAAGATACAGTACTGATGAACCAGATGCTTTTCCACTTTGTTATTACAGTAAAGCCTCTCAAGCTCACACTTGACTGGCCAACATGTGAGTTAAGTGAATTAAAGAGAGATTCATAACCTGGGTACAATGGACTTTGGGACCATGAACCCAGAATTATCAGGTGAGTAATACTGTACAAATGGTTGGACTGTAGATCATGAACACTAATCACTGGTCAGGGAAGGAGGAATAGAGTCGTAAGAGGGTGAGGGTATGGCTACTGACAGGTGTACCCAGACCAACACTTACATCACTTAGTCGGTGGTAATGAAGCTTCAGGAGAGGAAAGCATTTGCATATTTCTTATCATTTACAGTAATTCTCTAGATCAACACTAATTATTTTTTTCTTTTCTTATATATTTTTTAGCAGTGTTTTGAGTATTTTTTCTTTATAATTAACTCTGTTGGACGATCATAAATTTGAGAAAACTTAGCATGAGTAAAATTAACACAAAACCATCCCATAATTTGAAGTGTCAGTTGGGATTTAGAGACATTACGTTGCCATGATGTAATGTTTCAAGAGAGCAAGGGAGAAAAAATTAAAATAGTCAAGAAGACCAGCAGGAAATATACAGAGAACCACCCGCAAGAAAATGAGACACGACTTTAGGCACAACAGCACAGTGGAGATTTTTCAAACTACCTAACATTGCATATACAGTACTTAGGTACTGATGCCAAGTATATACCTGTACTTACTAATGCCAAGATCTGATTTGGGAAGGTATATACTTACTAATGCCAAGATCTGATATGGGAAGGGTCACAATTTCAGCAACAAAGCCAAGATCACCCGAGGCTCCGGTAGCGTGAACCTCCACAGATAAGCTCGTTCCTTCCGTCTTGAAGAATCTCATGTGATTTCCGCTGTTCATGTGAATCTCGGCAAACTTCACAGTTGTATAGTTGTACACGTCTCCATCATAGAGAACGATGCGGTCCTTCACAACTGGGTCATCAGTGTGTACGGTGGAGTCATACAGATTAAACTGAAGAAGCCTAATTAATGAGACAAGATATGATGGTTAATAGAAGATTTTGTCCCTTGTTAAATCTTATTCTAAACCTCATTAGTCACATTTATATAATTTGGTTGCTGTACTTATGAATTTATTCATTTTATTTCAATCAAATTTTTGAGATATACACTGATAAGACCTGTATTTTTAAGTTAAAGATAAAAAATTTGCAATAAGGCCTAAAACAGAGAAATCAATCAAAAAATGTAAACTTGAAAAATCTGCAAAATTAGTACAGAATGTGGGAAAAAGATTAAAAAAAAAATCATGCCAAATTCCAAGCCCAACAAAGTGAAATTGCACTACAAGTTCAATAAAAACCAATTAGAAGTTCTTTTAGACTCTACACACCTGAATCCAAAATTTTTTACATTGAACACCGATGAAAATATCTTGACACAATCCACAGGTCGATTATCATATTTGTAGTAAAGGATGATCCTCTCCTCAATCCTGAGCTCTTTGCTAGAGTCACAGATGTCTACCATCCCGAACATGTGGTATGGGAGACGCAGCTTGGTCAGAGGGAAGAACGATGACTCTTCAGTTTCACGTGTCTCTCCGGTGAGGCCCATGAGAGTGACACCCACACCCAGATTATTTTGAAACCTGATTAAAACATGAAAATAATGACAGTCAATGAAAATAACATTAATATACTCGTACAATGAAAAAAAAAACCTTTCTAAACCTTCTGCCTTGACAGATATATTGTAGGTAATAAAAGATTAATAAGATCAGTACAAGTATATGATTGTATGGTATTGTACAGTAATTCTTGCTCTTTGCTAACTTTTTTACCTGTCCAATAACATCCTACTTTTTCTTCTCTTTCTCTACTGTAATCCTGAGGGGGTGTGGCCTGTTTTCCTACTTCCTCCCTAACCTGACCACATTACAGTACTTGGGACAACTGACTTATTCAAACTTTCTTATAAATATCTTGAAAACTCATCTTATCTTGTGATTTCTTACTCTCAGCCTCTTCTGACTGGCTCTCGGGATCTCCATACACAATAATGTTGTTCTTATGCTCAAGATGATCCTCGAGTTCTTCCTCTCATGGACCCCTAAATTTCTTCACACACACATTCACCGAGGCCCCTAACTGTTGTATGACCTGTATTATAGGATCCTGGCACACACTTTCATACCTCTTCACACCTCCTTGTTGGCCTCTAGTCTGACAATCCTTTACTTGATTTCACATCACTTCCACTTTATATAATACACAAATCATGCTTTCCAATTTTTCATCCAATGTCTTTTTAAACTTTAGTTTTATAATTCTATCCTGACAACAATCATAAAACAAAATTATTTCAATCTTGATTACTTGTTTGACACATTCCTGATACTGTACTGTAGCATATCCAAACCAATCTTCCCGCAAACAATTATTTTAGGAAACAAACTTGTGATGACTTACTTGTTGTATAACATATCAAAGCCGTCCTTAGCAGAGACAATGGACAGGCCATCGTATGCCGAATTCCTTATGGTAACTCCCCGTAGTTTTGGCGTCTCGTGGAAAGAAAGAATTGCTGGAGATTTGTCATTATGAAGTATTCCTGCACCTTCAATATTTACCCATTTCATCACAGAAGGTAACACAGTTGTGTGTGAGTTACCATGCACTAGCGGGTGGGCGTGAGCATGTTCTGGGCTGTTGGTGTTATGGATCCTCTGGTACACATCCATGTGTTCAAAATTAGGGATTGAAAACCTGCAGGAATGAATCATGTGATAAACTATGGTACATACTGCATATTAACACTAATCCTTCAGTTTTGAATTACTGTAATGTAATTCTTAATTAATTATCAACCCATCTCCAATACTCTATATTTGGTTTACAATGAGCTGCATCCCTTTTGGTACCTCTCTCTCATACCCGTGTCTCATACTACATATTATCAAGAGCAGCACACAAGTTTGGCTAAATGTACACTGGAAATACAAAATAAATGGCTGGTTGTGATGAAGAGAAAACATAACATGCATACCTAATGCCACCCCAGTATTCTTCATTCTCATTCTCTAAGTTGAGATCTCCACAAGATATATAAACAAAGTCACCATTCCAGGAACATTCATAGGTGTGGTTGAAGATCTGGCCATTCATCCTGAGGGAACATTCATTTAACGCCATCTCTGTACCTGAGAAAAGAAAACAAATTTATAATACCAAAACTTGTTGCACCTGACCATGGCCTTTAAACAAGAACAATGCTGCTCATAATGTTACTTTAGATCAGTCTCTCACAAGTGCTGGACATGGTTTATCACTTATGGAAATAATTTTTGCTTTTCAAATGGTAAAATTACAGGAATTGATGAACTGAATATAGATACTGACAGAGAGCTCAGTTTTTTTTTTATAAAAATATTATAATATATATGTGTTAAAAAATTTTTATGATTGATAAAATTTTAAATTCATGTACTGTAATTGTATACATTCTTACCATCACACTGAATAGGGTCAGGCCACGATCGAATGCGTATTAAAGCATTGGGGAACATCTCAGTCCGCTTATTGCGACCATGGAAGACGTTGACTATATTGTGTCCAAGTTGATTACACACTACTTGGGCGTTGCGCTCAGTGAATCTATTATCACAGATTGGTACCCACTGCTTCGTTGTACCATTAAAGATGTCCAAGAACCCGTCTCTAAATTGGCATTCAAGAAAATGTATAATTGAAACAAGACTTTCAAACTGGGGACGATAATTAAGATAAAATCTACTTGGATCTTGCTCAAGTTCCAGCTTGTCTCATAAGTTACTTGTATAAATATTCATCACTAAAGTCTAATGCTAAATCACAGAACTAATTTTGTGAACAGAATTAGACATTCTTATTACTGTAGAATTAGAATATTGAATTTTGAAACACCATCTTTGGGATAACAATTGCTAAATCAATCAACACATCACACAACTATTCTGAAACTATGGATATTCATTCTTCAATTATTCAATGATATCAAGAAATAGTTTTCTGATGAAACATAGACTGAATATGACTGAGTGCCACAATAAAATATAGTTTAATACAGTAATATCTCTGTTAGCCAGAATCCCTCAAACCCAGAGCTCTCCGATAGCCGGAATTGAAATTTTTCTCGGAAAATTCCGGCTTTGAGAACGATTTTCCGAGGGGCATATTTTCCGGAAAATTCTGAGAAAATTTTCCCGATACCCGGAAAATTCTGGGGATGAGGGATATTTTTCCGGGTTCGAGATATGATGTAATGGGCAATTTATGGAACTTCCGAGAACATTTTTCCGTTACCCGGAAAATTCCGGGGATGAGGGATTTTTTCTGGCTTTGAGAGAGTCGTCTCGTTACCCGGAAATCTCTCATTCCCGGAAGTGCTCTGCACCAATTGTTCCGACCAACGGAGATATCACTGTAGTCAAATGTAAAACTGACAAAGAAACTTACCTTCTGCCGTCACAGTCCCCTTCTACACATAGTCTTACAGATTCTAAAGATGATTTTGTGTGGCGGCCAACTCTGTAGTGCGTTGCCGTTGAAGTATCAACAGGTCGCATGGTGATGCGGTTATGTTTGACACCTACTGCTTCTAAGCGACCCAGAACAAGCATTCCAACGCTGGGAAAGAACTCCAATGTAGCTCCTGCTTCAATCACCAAGGTCACTCCCGGCATGACAGTTAAGTCAGACTTTATGACATACGGTTCAGAACGTTTTGTTAATCGTAAATCATGTAGAAGTCGACCACCAATGGCCTCCAGATCCATTGTCTTCTCTTTTGTTGTAGATGATCCCACTGATGACACAGGTGCTCTCAGGTTGTCTTCAATGAGGTATGGAAGATAGTCGGCAAGTGCAAAGTTATTCCAGTCATCAAAATCAAAGATGCGCTCCTCAATTACTTTAGGGTCACGGGAACCCCACCAATTAGCTTCGACATTTAGATAATTATCAATCCTACTGGTAAAGAGACCAGCCAGTAATTCATAGTCCATTTCATTGGATCCAAACTGGTTATGAGTTATGTTTATTTTCTGAAGACCTCGCACTGCTATAGTGTAGCTGGCTGGCTGATATGCCCTAGATGGGCTGCTCCTAAGCTGAAGAGCATGTCTATTTCTTTGAACTTTGTTGTATTCAAAATGAGCTTGTACAACCCCAAGGATATCACTTTGACTGTTAGTGTTAAATTCAACAACATATGAGCCAATATTTGAGGTTATGGTGTTATCATAAATGAACATCTCTTTCTCCATGCCCTGCAGCGATATCAGACCTTGTTCACAAGTGTTCGTCTCAAATTTGGAATCGGTCATGTTTATACGAGCAAAATGGCCATCTACCAAGAACTGGAACCGAACGTTATTTAGGAAAGACGATTGATTGATGTAAATAGTATGGGTGAAGTTCTCAGTGTACTGCCACACATATGGCAGCGTTAGTACTATACCACCACCACCATTGTTTTCCATTACAGTCTCCTGCAGCACCCAGTGGAAGAGGTTGTTGGACTCTCGAACATCCCTAAGAATAAAACAATTGTGTGATGAAAAAGTCTGTCACCAAGTACATAAAATGATAAACACCTAATTCTGAATGTAGGGAAAGGAATGCATGAAAATGACATATAATCATGATTTTCAGAAAATATGACAACTTACAGTATAGTTTACTAATGTATAAAATGAAAATACTGATAAAAAACTCATCACTTTGCTATCTTGGGCTGTATAAAGCCACAATTACCATTAGAAATATTTGATTGAAAAACATCTCTGCAGTAAACTCACCAACTGTACTGGTCAATGCCTCGGCCATTGCCTGATATGGTGGTACCGTTGAACATGAAGGTTATCTCTGCAATGTCGTCATTATCCATCATGACTCTAAACGGTGAGAGTGTGTACACTGCCTGGTTGTTATTGTTTATAATCTTAGAGTTAATGACCACCATACTCTCATTAGCACATCGCATGAGGTGATCGCCATCATCTGTCAGATATCTGTTGAATGATAATATACTGTAGCTTGTTGGTGCATGAGACTGAAGGTATTATTACTATACAGTCAGTGTCCGCTTAACACACGCGATGATCCTGAGAAGCTGTACGTTGACTGCACTGAATGCGTGTGGGGTTCTTTACATAATGTGTTGCTGTAAATAACATGTTAGCTTGAGATTAACAATAATGGATGCAGTGAGTGACAGATGATAGCTTGGAAAAAATTTATAGTAATATAGTGGAAAGTAGAAGAGCTGAAATAGTCTGTGTAATAGATAATGTTATTCATTTAACAGTTAAAGTTGAGGAAGAATATGTTAGAGGACTCTGGGTGGGAAGATAACCACAGACAACACACAAAGAAGGGGACAATTGAAATAAATGTGAAGGATCCATACAATTCTCCTTTACTTTGTTTCCCTCCACAGCAGTTGATGGTCAGTAGATTAACTTTAGCTTTACTTTATTTTCTGATATTCTGTACAATTGTTCTCTTTTTATGGTAATAGTTATTGTGTCTTTATCACTATAATTTACTGGTAAATATAATGGGTGAGCTTCAATTAACAAAACTGTAACAATAAAGAGATATAAAATACGTTAACATCTTCTTGGGACACTAAACAATACATTTATCTATGAAAAAGTATAAATGTTTACATACACAGCCTAGTTACGCTATAGCTTCATGATATTGATCCTTAGTTAAGACTCAAATACAGTACCTGTTGTAATGCAGTGTAGAGATGCCAATATCATTTTGTTGAATGTTTGTTTTGTCAATGTACAGCATGGGCCACTTAGCACGGAAGTTGCGTAGATCTCCAGCCTGGGCGATGTCCCTCCCTAAAGAGTAAGTCATTGGATTATGTAAAAAGTTAATTCTAGACAAAAGATGAAGTCTTATGCTCAGGATGGGTAGCTACAAAATCAAGACCAAATACAGAAATGTCTCAATGGTAATCTATAAATTATGTTAACAGGATAGAAAGTGAAACTTCATCTTTAACTCTTTCTCACCAATTGTTGCAATTCAAAATCTTATTCTTGCTATTGCCAGACAGTCTTACTCACCTTAGGGAACCTCTAAGGCCAAAGGATTAAGAGATATTTAACAGTTTTCTAAATGGTTAATCATCATCATCATCATCTTTTTACGGTCATTTTCCTTGCATAAGTTAGTAAAGGTTACACAGAAAGAGATCTAACTGAGCAATGAATAAGAGAATAAGTTAATGTATGACCACAATGATGTCTTGTGAAAAACTATAAAACGTTGATGCAATACTTGACTTACTATCTATAGCTGTCAGTACAAAGATGACGTCACCAAGAGCATAAGGTCCTGAGCTGTACTCAATAGTTATGGCATAACTACCGGAGGTCGTAGGGAAAGCCACCTGGTCCCCTCGCAGGTCCCAGCGCGCAATATCCTGGAAACATCAAAATTTGAGAAAATATTTCAGTTAGGCATCTCACACCCTTTGCTGCTACATAGAGACAGAATTATGAGACTGTAATGTCTTGTTCCATCTAATACTACAAGTAACCTGATGAAACAAATGAATTTCTGTAATAAAGTAATAAGTCATGTTAAAATGCCACTCTAATGGATGACTTACAGTGGACAACATTTCTCACCTGGCTCTCAATAATCTTCTGGTAGTCATATATCACAATCATCTCGGTGCTCTCTGGTGTGATCGGGTTCAACACTTGGATTCCGATTACATTGGAATGTGACGTCTGAAAAATTACTGCCGATTAGAATATCATATTGACATGAAAGTGCAGTAATCTCACCCATACCGGGTCACTACAACACTCTTTTGAATGGAGGTGAGAAAGACCAGTTACTTTGGTATGACCACAGTGCTAATGAGCAACAAATACTAAGACTTGATGAGTGTAATATTTTGATCGTTCATCATCAACATTTTATGGCCCTCCAGGGGTGTTGAGTAGACCAAGTGACACAGTAACCATGGTAAAGTCTACCCCTGGAAGCAGCTCAAATTGTCTGAATGTTATATATAATAAAATTACCAGTAAGTTTGCTTCATGATCCCCAATGGAAAAAGTCCCTCTTGGACATATTGATAATATCACTTTTACCTCACCTGAAGAACGACCATAACTACCCGGTATGTAAGTCTTACCGAGACGTGGATGGTCATCTTGGTGTCAGCGCCCCGTAGTGTCTGTGTGATGAAATATTCTGGCTCATTGAGTGTCAGCTGGATATCCTTTGGAGTGTCTGAAAATGATTTTTCTTAAATTATTTAGTGATATGGAAATACTGTATTATCGTTGTTAGGCATAGAACAGGAAGCAGACTTAGATAATTTATTCAATCATGCACATTTATTGGTAAGTCTATACAAAATATCATATCTTCAGTGCCTGGTGTACTATTCATTCATGCCATACTGTAGACCAATTCTTAAACTACAATAACCACATCTACATATCTCACAGTATGAAACATTTAACATATGTATTATACAAATTTACCTGATTATAAACAGTTTACCTTGTATTAGACATATACTGTACTGGTAATACTGTACTTGTGAAATATAAATTTCCTATCTTAAGAAACTTCAAGTGATAGAAATACTAACCTGGAATTTTTCTGTATCTGTCATGCAGCAACTTGAGCCACCCTGTTAGCTCCCTCTGATCAGCTCGAGACAAGAATGGGTTGAAGTGGATGCCAGAACCATCATTGCCTTGTAGCTCCGAGTCTTAGAAAGTACAACAAGTGTTACCTATAAGTGTCAAGTTACAGCAGCTGAAAAATGTCTCGATCAAAGCGACATACAGCACAGGAAGATTATTCATATGTTCAAGCATTTTCCCACAATGACTCAAGCTATAAAGATAGACGTTGCTCTCCCACTATCGGCTATACTGTATGTGTGTTATGTTCGTGTGCATTTAGAAGCTTTCTCTCATGTGGGTGTGAATTTTTTATTTTTTGCTTATAATGTCATTGTGAAAACTGAAACTAATTGCAATAGCTGTTGATCAGTGATGGAAACACTTAACAAAGATTGTAGGTGTATGATACATCTGTCAATGTGAGAATAATTAAGTGAGGATTTTTTTTATTGAAAACTAATTGACTGACTTATTCATTGGTGAGATTGAGGTAATGGCAGCCATAATAACGATGACTAAAGTAAAAGTATAATGACTGATGGTAAATATGATTACCCTGTATTAATGAGAGAATGATAATAATAACAACAACCATAATGATGATAAAAGCTGTCATAAACTACAATATAACATCTTGCAAATTTTTCATTCTACTCTACAGTAACTTTCAATATAAAGATGAATGGAACAAATTACTTCCCTTTCCTTTTCACCGTCACTTACCAGTTATGTTGACCCCCATCTGCTTCACACTGATGCCGTGTCTTTTATTCCGGCTAAAGGAGCAGCCCTTGAACACCCGAGCGTCAGGGTTGGCAATGGCATACTGGTTACTGTAAATAACACCCACGCCGTCCTGTGAGTTGTCCCGGACTTCAATATCTTGTATAACGTGGTGATGGAAATCAATTTGCAGAGCTGAGAGATGTAAAGCATAAATAAGGTTAGGTTAGGTTAAGTTATTTCAAATATAACAACAAACAATAAGTAAAAAAAAAAGGGGGGGGAGGAGAATTCAAATATGTTTAATAATTCATGATTAAAATAGAAATAATAAAAAGAGAAACACAAAAATGAGAATTATAATCCAAGACTATTCTATCCATTAATGAGAGAAATATAATAGCCAATACACATGATTCAGTCCATTATATAGAGGGTCCATTAGACATGAGACCCTCTGTTATATGGAGCTTTCACTGTTCTTTCATACACACAAAAGGACTTGAAGCAATCAGCAACATCAACCAAGAGCAGAATCTCCCATAACTCACCAGGCTTAAAGGATCTTGTGGTATAGTCAAGGAGCCCTGCCTTCTCGATGATAACACCCTTTATGTGACTCTCGTGAGCTGTCATGCCTAAACGTATGCCTGCCCAAGTGCAAGGGTAGCAGCGGATACCTACATCTTCAGCGTGCGAGCAAGAGTTCTCTAGTTCCCACGAGGCATCACTCTTGCATCGTGTTATGTCTGTGTCAAACTCATCACACTGTACATTGCTGTTGGTAAATAATTCATGGTATATATCAGGCAACATTTCTTCATAGATAAATCTAACAAGTGTTTACTATTATATAAGATTTCTCATTTAAGTCATCAAAGAGAGCAGTATGGTATCCATGGCAACCTACAACTGTTCATAACATCCTTGCAAATAATACAAAACAACATTGACTAATTTTTAGGAAGTAAAATAAAAAAAAGGGCAAAATGTTGATACCAAAATTGAAAAATATGAGAATTATGACAAATTTAACAAAATAATTCTTTGTTGTAGAGTTTCCATCACTTAAGCTGCCTGGAACAAGGATTTGGACACAGAAACTGTTTCGTGGCATTCATGATGTTGATTCTCAGCTAAACTTGCAAAAACTTTTCACCACACATAAAAAACTGGACAGTAGCTCTACACTGTCTGTACTGCAGCATGAATCAACTGTATATGTGTACTTTCGTAAGCATGTATGCATATATTTTCCGATTAGTTAATAAATAAGATGCACTCACAATCTCAAAGTTAAATTAAAATCTATCTTCTGACATGGGACTTTTGTTTGCTTCCATTGTGATCTTAATACAGTACAAATATATGAATAGGATCTACTGTACTGCATACACATAACAATCTAACTAAGAATAGTTTATAGTAAAGATGAAACACTAACCTCAACAAAATCCTGGCAGTCTGACCCTCTGGTGGCATGTGACCAGGCTCCAGGAACCAGTCCTCTGGGTTGAGAACATGACCCATCTGTTGGCAGGCAGCCGCAGCAGCATCTTGGGTCCACCCATGGTTACAAACAGTCCCCCACTCACCACCTACATATACCTGATTATAATAAAGGCTGGTCATTAAAGGTAATTAAAACTGATAAAAAGATGTGTAATTAAGTAAAAATTATATGATGGACAGTGAAATTAGGAAGAGAACAATGCATGAGAGAAGGTCGATTAAAGAGCTGGGAAGTACGAAAGCTTGGAGGCAAGGAAGGAACTCAGAGGTCAGTATAACTATTCCTGCCTTAATTTGCAGCACTAAAACATGAACCTGGAGCAGAATGTTCTAAGACACAGAGAGCCATTACCTGAAGAGTGATCTGGATCTAACAGAATGGAAGGAGTGATGAACAGTGAAGTGTGTGACAGTTACTTTCTTAAATATTAAATTACTCTACTAGAAAAATATACCTAATAACAAGTAATGCAAAAGCTTTCATTTGTAGTTAACAAATGCAATTGTATGTTGTTATAATTATAATTGACAATTTAAGATGTTTTACATTTTTAGTAAGCTTTAGGGTCAAGTGTTTATAACTGTGGTTAAAATAGTACAAAATTAAACACAAATACATTCTGATAAACTTACCATCAGTCTTCCTTCAAGGTCATTCTTGCCTCCTACAAGCTTAACAGGAATGACTGGGCCCTCCGTTACATTGGACACCAGTACGCTAGTTGTTATATTAGCATGCTCTGTACCATTCAGCACTACCACCTCTTCTTCTGCATAAAGTGCAGCTCTGGCAAATGTCTCTTCCTCTGTGGTACCTTGGAGGGTGAAACGGACATCACGTTTTCCAGATCCTTCAGTGCGTAGGAGTCCTGCCACCATCATGCCCATACCTTCAGCAAACTCCAGTGTGGTGCCAAATGCAATGGTCAGTGTTCCAGTCTCGTGAACATATATGTCCCGAGTCACAGTATAAACTCCATCGTGGAGCGTAACCTCACCGTTCACTTCTCCACCAATAATGTGATTATCAACTGGATCAAAAAAATTTGGTTCACTCATCTGCCCTGGTTCAGTCACAGGCGTTTCTACATTGTTGCTGCTTAAAAGAAACGGGTGAAACACCACTAATGCCAGGTTGTAGCGGTCACGGCGGTCAAATATCCTATCAAATATAACCCTCTCAAATTTGTTTCCAAGCCAGTTGTAAGTAGCATTAATCGGTGTGCTCTGATCCGTTGTATGTGAGCTGATTTCGTAAAATGAACCAGGATTTTCAATTAAGTTTCTGTACAGAATGATATTTGAGGAACCAACACATATAACTCCTGAAGCACGACTTCTGGATTGAATGTTAATATAAAGTTCTTTGACAACATTGTCTTTTATTGTATTCTTTTCTACACGAAGGGTTTGATCTAGTCCGCGTAGGGAGAGAGTTAGACGAAGAACAAACCATCCAGTGTTGTCTCGAAAATGATTCCTTACTATATGCCCAACAAAAGGTAAACTTGGCAGCTCTACTTTGTCTTCATTGTAGATCATCACAGTCCCTCGGTCATTCTGTTGAAACTCATTGTACTCAATAGAGAGATTCATATTTACAGCTGGAGTAATTTTTACAGCTAATCGGTGGTTCTTCTGAAACAAATTTTGGCCTATTTGAACTGTTCGCCTTCCACCGTCTCTAAGCCAACAAGACTCTATCTCTATTGCTGCTCTGTGACCTTCCGTGAATGTGTTACTGCTAATGTTCACTAGGGCATCCCGGCAAAAGTTACCAATTCGTAGACCCACATCTAAATTTCCAGTTATAATTGAATAAGCCACACTGGTCTTATGTTGAATCTTGGTATCTAGTCCACTTTCATTGAACCACACAGCAACACCTCGAAGTGTGTTGTCAGCAATATTGCTCCATGTAACATTCTGGAGACCTCCTTCATAAGTTATATTTACACCATCGCCAATATTCTTGTTGATGGTAGAGTGAGTCACATTAACATCTCCCGCTCCCATCTTCACATTCAAACCTGATCCAAAAATATTCGCTGTCAAGTTGGACTGATGAATGTGGACGAGGCTGCGCAGGTTTTCTACAGCAACACCGTGACCAATGTTACCTCCAACCAAGGAATTGTGAAGACTAAGATCAAACATTTTATCTGCAAGGAGAAAATAATTGTGTTCACAAAGAAAAATTTACAGAAATTAAGATAATAATAAAAATCTAACATACTGTAATTGGTTTAAACCAATATAAATAAAGAAACATTCTTAATTGCAGTATATCACTTAAGCAACTCTCATTCCCTCACATAGACCTCTGGCAAGATGTGTGTGTAGGAAAAGTGATAAATGTAATTTTTGTACAACTATATTACCTATTTTCAAAAAGGTAAATATACTGCAACTTACATTTGCTTGCTACCACTTCCATGAATATAAAGGAGAGCTTCTGAGACTTGGCTGTAAACTTGATCCATATGGTGTTTCCTCGTGACACAACAGAGGACGGGAAAGTGTGGTTCTTCAGTTCAAACTTGCTCAATAAGTCCCCCCCTTCATCACGATCTCTGTTGAAATATTTTATTTATGAGAAGTGAGTCAAGTTTATTTACCATCACAAACTATAATTTCTCAATACTAGTGAACATCTTCGGTTGATGATTAATAAACATGTCACCAGTACCGTACGTGGATCTCCACACATATGCTGGGCATTTTTTCACCCATTTACAGTACAGTATATCTCAGCAGTTTCCCCCAATCTTAAGAATTTATTTTATTTTTTTTATTTTAACCTCCACTTTAGAACTTAAACTTTGACACCTGACAAACACCTGAACTTGGTGCTCTGTTTACTGTCACATTAGGAAACATCAACACACAAAATTTCAATGAGATCTATCAAGTCGTTAGAGAGATAAACCTACAGGCAGGGAAGACTTCATAAACCTCAGCACAAGTTAATTAATTAAACCTTCAATTGTGGTAGACTTATTAATTACAACTTATAAAACAAAAAGTCTAACTAACTAAAGGCTGATGGACTATACAGTATTCATCTCTTCATATGCTTTCATTTTCTGTAACAAATAATCACACAGTAACATTACACACAGGAAGTACAAAATGTGTTATTTAGTAAAAAGATCAATTTAACACAGTGTGATCTACCTGACTTCCACTGTACCAGCTCCATCCTCCTCAGTCTGCATGTATGAGAAGTGAACTGTGAACACGAAGTCTGATTTTCGGATGTAGAATGACTGTGGTGAACAGAAATAAATAATAACAATACATTACATTTAACGACAAAAATATAAACATAAAACAAAAATGTCTTCCAGTATGTTAACACTCTTTACAGTTATCACCACCATCAGTTGCAGCAGCACATTAATAAAACCTTCCTTATAGTATATTTATGAACATGGTAGTTACAAATAACAAAACAACAGTCAAACTTTCTTTGTTTATATAACTTACTTTAACACAAGTAATGTCCTTGAAGGAATACTTGTCCTGAGTGGCGACTGTCACAATAGGATAAGCTTGGTTAGGGTTGGAGGCTCCTGCACAGAAGTCCTGGAAAGTGTCTGACGCTGAACGGTTTGGTTCACGGTGGTGGAAGTTGTACTTGACTCCATCAGCGTTGTTGTCCATCACTACAGACGACTCATCTATCAACACTGAGCCAGTTGATGTGTTCACATACACACCATAACCTGAAAAAGCCTCCTCATGTACAAGATTTTATACAATAATTTATTGGTCCTATTAAAGTCATCCTTTAGGAGAAGAAATAATGTTATGAGAGCATATCCTTGTAATTATAATGTTGTAGTACTTTATATTTACTATGTGGAGATACAGCTCACAAGGATGCAGTGTGGCACTCAACCACTTTCACTTGCCCTACAATAAAGTTTGCTACCCATCAACAGCTGGGTGAAGTAGGTCTCCTGGCCACAAACCAACTGTTCATCTTAATTAATTAAGTAAAAACTACATAAAAGAGAAGCACAAATAGAAAATCTCATAAACACCAAAAGTCACTAAATTACATGTGACAAACAGAAATGCTCTGTCCACAATGTCTTTTAATACATTTGTCAAAATAGGTATCATCAGAGAATGAGATAAATAAATCATACAGTAATACAATAAGAACATATTATAATTTACCGCCATTTGCTTTAATGGTAGCATCTTGTAGGTGAACAAAGGTGTCTGGTAGGGTAATATTGATGCCATTGAAGGCATTGGAGTTGATGGTGACATGGCTGATGCGTGGAGGGACTCTGCGACTCATCACTGCAGACTCCACCTCTCTCTTGGGCCCCATGCCAGCATACTCCAAATCCACATAACTTAAAACTGATTTTGAGACCTAAAATGAATTAATCTCAAATGAGTTTAAAATCTCCTGCAAAAGTTGACACTCACATTACACAACCAAATCAAAGAACATGACAAACTGGACATCAAGAATATGCAACATAAGATGAAAAGATAAAAAACTTGTATTACAGTAAACTGTTTCTTAACCGAAAAGAGTGGAACCAAGAAGCTTATATAAAATGTATAAATATGTAAAATGGATACATTACTATGATGAACATTCATACATAGAATGCATATAATAAACCATAGTACAGTACAGTGTTAGATCTGGTGTACATTATTACATATTAGAGTTTCTGCAAATACCTGCACACTAAGCTACTTCATTATTCTCAAACATTCTCAATGTTATTTATTTTACAAATAAGCTATCAATGAGTCACCACTCTTCCACAATCACCATATAACTTACACCTCAAATTCACGTGAAGACAAGTAGACTCACCACCGCACACACACAGTAACTGAACAGTACTATTGTACAATAATATAAAATAGCAAGTTCAATTACATTTGCATTAATTTTAATTACTTAAGACAGTCTTTTATTGAATAAAATTTAAAATATAATCTTGTACAATGTCAATATGAACCTCTTGTTACAATATGGTGAATAAATATACTGTCTTAAATACTGTACTGTATGTAGTACTGTATGAGTCACACCTAGTATCACACTGTGTACTGCAACAGTATGAACTGCACCTTTTGATATAATGTTTTCTCCTGGAAGAGCTGCCCTTCAAACTCTGCATCATGGAAGAGGATCCCCCGCCAGTGGTTGGTGCCCCGCCAGAGGGCATGGTAGCCCTCACAGTCCAGCCCCAGGTCAGGGTGCATGTCTGGGGGTAACAACACAATCCATTTATTTCAAAATGAAGAGGATTACCAGGGAGAATACGGTACACATACATTCCCCATCATCAATGTTGTCATGATTACTTGGTGTGGTGTCCCAGTTGACATCAGACAAACCTGAAGCAAGTTGCCCTCCCTATCACCACCACTTTTACAGAGTGGAACTGGGTAGTATATGTAGGACCTCCAAGTGCCTTCATGTCTGACAAGGCGGGGTCGTTACTCCCTGAGGTGATCAAAGCTAAGCTACCTGCCTACCTGTAACACACACACACACACACATTGATAAAGTTTGATAATATAGAGAGTAACCAGGTCACACATGTTACACACAATAATAGTAAAACCCCAGACATTACTCCATAAAACAATAATAACAGTAACGTACCACAGACACCTCCGCCCATGGAATGTGTGTGCCAGGCACACTTGGTGATGTCATCCTCGAGGCCGGTACAGAGAGGAGCTTCGTACAGAATTGTGGAGGTGTCATTATTGGCACGGTCCTGCCACTCCCAATACTTGCCACCGCTGTAACCCATCTGACGACAACCAACAGTCATGTCTTCCGCCGTCCAACTGGAACATATAATGTACAGTGTTAGGAAAATACTTACACCTTTATATTGCTAAGAAAAACTCGAGAAATACAGGCACAACACAAGTAATTATATTGATTTATTTATAGTTTCACCACTTGTCACCATACTAGTCAGTTGGGTCGTCGGTTGGTTCTGTTTATACACTGTTGACAAGTACTGAGAATTCCCTGGTTTTTTAATATATTTGGACATGTGCCAATGGTAGTCAAGTCTAGATTTAATGAGCTCACAATCGGTGCTGTCACAACATTCTCTGGCAGCTTATTCCCAGAGTTCACAACTCTTACTCTAAAAGAAGTTATCTATGGTTCGGCAAACTCTATGCAAATTTGCAGTGATTGAGTAATGGAGCAGACTATTAACTCCAAGAGTTGTTCAATTTCGTTATTTTTTTTCTACAGAATTTCTTTGGATAATAGTAAATAATAAAAGCATGGAGGATGAGAGAGATTGCGGGGTAAAAAACGGCGAAAAACTGATCATATGACCCTTAAATAAAGTCTCTATGTGCTTTGTACGCGAATAAATGTAATTTTTACCATAAATATTCCCCCGAAAATTCAGGGCCTGTCTCCCTTAAATTGCCAATAAACGGGTGTCATTTCGGGGACTTTACTACCGTACCTTCATTATAGGCTGAGTGTCTTTTTCTTAGCCTTCAGTAGTCAGAGTAAGCTGTTAAGTGGTTAAATGACAACTGAAATTTTAATTACAAATTAGTAATTTTTATTAAATCACTGCTTGCCTTTATAAACTGAGCGACTGTAAATGTTTTAGTCTCTTGGTAGGTGAGGTATCTGGGTGCCGTTCTCAATTGGCAGTATTGTACTGTATTTAGAAAAACTTGGAACCCAACATAATTGGAAAATTCCAGGAGAGGTGGCACCACAAGTCTCCAATCCTTGGGCCCCCTCTTGAGGGCCACAACAGACTGTTGTCAACAGTAATAAGTTGGCCGCGCAGGTCGCAGGTCTTCTTGTTACTAATGTACAAAACAGGCCCTCGCTCCTCCAAAATGTTGGCTAAAAATACCAGCCACCGATCTCGTCTAGAATCAGGTTGTAGTACATTAAAATTCATTTTTGTTCTGGTTACTTTATTCACAAGAAAAACGAATACAATGTCCTGTCCTAACCTAACCTCCTCCCCCCCTCCCGGGTGGGGAAATTCTCCACATCTTTAACTTCAAAGTTTAAATTTAGTATTTTAAAGTGGCGACAACGAGCACGAGATACACAAACAAGACAGGTTAAGACAATACAGGTATATAAAAAGGGGGAGAGGGTTAGAACAATGATGGGCAGACGTAAAACCCTTGACGGCAACAAGTCTGGGAGTCAGGGAGCATACAGGAAGTAGCGGCACCAGACCGGGAACAACCTTACTACATAAGTCCCTTTACGGAATAATTTATTTTTCTCTCTAACTTGAGATATAAGAACGACTGTGAAACTTTACTTGGGTAGGTGCATTATTCCTAGGCCAAGTTAGGAAAATAGAAACTACCCTGCAAATATTTAAGAATCCAGATCCTGCTCTGAAAATTTTGATTCCAATCAATATATATATATATATATATATATATATATATGAAATTGTTGTTAATGATGGACGATACACAAAGCAAAAATGTAGCACGGTAACTGTGGTTGTGGAACAAACACACGTACACTACAAGACATACTGTACTGATGTCTGGAAGACTTATAACACAGTACTAACAAAAACCGTAAGAGACTAAACTTGGGGCGAGTCTGGTGGTGTTGCTTGGCCAAATTCAACACACGAATTGTTTCACATTGTCTACAGTAAGCGCCTATCGTTCACCAATGTAATACAGACTCACACTGTAGACGTGTCCGTTTGTCCTGATTAACAAACATTAACTCCCCCGTTTAAGATGACGAAAACTACCTAAACACCGGTAGGGTACAACAGTGAGCCAGCACCGCCCTTCACACCACACAACCACACCTTTCCCACGGGAGAACCTACAATTTTTATCCACGAGTTCATGTTCCCAATGCCATGGCCGGGGGACTGCTTTTTTTTCCCACACCAACAATAGCGATATTATTTATAACGAGGTATACATACTGATCTTTTCCTAATGTGACCTACAACACATAGTGGACTCTCAAGCTGTTACTGAGGACATGGGGAAGAGTGAGCAGAGGAATGGAGAAGTGGGGGTAGTGGAGGAACTTTGGGTAATAGGAAGGATAGAGAAGTGGGGGAGACATGATGGGAGGGAGCGGGAGAGAAGAGGATCATTATCTTGCGGGCGATGAAATCTCCCGCCGTTGTTGTTGTTGTTGTTTTTAGTTCCCTTCACCAAGAGAAACATTTGGTGATCCATTGTTCGCTTCCGCTTCGTCTTAACTCACAGTACAACGCTCAAAAGGACCGTCACAACCTCCTCCTCCTCCTCCTCCTCCTCCTAGTCTGACAGATGTATTACAAATATTTCCCAGTTATTATCACGACTTAGTAGAAGCTATTAAAGTGACACAACGGTGGGACTGAACGCGTATTAAATATTTGTACAAGCAATATTTCATCATTCTGATATTTAGTATTTACTGAAGTGAAGCTGTTTGACACTACTAGGACTCCTCATACCTTTAACATATAACTGCATTCTAGTTGATTATGCAGTGAGCACTAAAGTTGATAATTATGTAACATTATTATACCGTATCATAAAGGTAGTTAGATAGCTATAACTTAGTTCATCCTGGAAATTCAAGACAACTAGTAATACATATAAAACGTTAAGTGTTGGTTTAGGTGATAGGAGGCGTCACTCCGGCGAGCGCCTCGTGTATACTGCACAGTAACCTATAGCTGACTACTCTAAACGCTTCTAAATACGTTGCATCAAGAGTTAAGAACACACCCGGTAAGTGCTTTCACGTCACTCTCTTCACTTAATTACCTGGTATAATAGTATACAATCTATACATGAATATAAGACAATACCCAATAAAACGGTGACGAAATGATGCCAACATTACTCTTCACAAAGTCTAACGGTGTTATGTTTCTTTCATAAATTATTAAGATGATCTTGACCGATAAATATGTTAATCTAGCACCCAGAGTGAGTCGGCCATTATTAAGGTGGGATGTAGCCTAACGAGCAGGTTGACTCAATTGACCAGAGTTGTGCGTGCAAGTTCCCGACTCGCCACTCTCCCTCTTACCTCCGAGAAGGTTAGATTAAGTTAGGTTGCTCCTGTTAAGTTAAATTCCTTCTTACCCATGTTAGGAAATGTTTACTTGTTGGGTTACATTAAGTTAAACAAGGTTGGTTTTAGAATAACTTGAGTGAGGTTAAGTTGGGATAACAGTTAGGATACGTCAGCTTAAATTAATTTAAAATAAGAAGCCAATTCACTTCAGAACATTATCCAATTTTTAAAAGATAAGATAAAAAAATCATGATTATCTCAATCAGAAGAGAAGTTGTTGCAAAAGATAAAAGGATTTCTAACCGGACGTGTTCACATCGTTGGTCCGAGAAACAACCATCTTATTTTCCTCATGGACGGATGTTTCCCCTTCCTTGCCTGGCCGCCCTGGTCACGGTACCTGCCCGGGAGGCTCCTAGGGCAACTCGATGCACGCGCTGCTGCCCCCACAAATCTCAGCTGCCATAAACCTCACGCCCGGGAAAATTACTCAACTTCCGGTCCAGCCATTCTTGCCATCCCACTACCAAGTTCTCAAGTCCCTTACATTTAAGTTTTCGAAAAATATACACAATTTTCTTGATCTTTGTGTAAATATTATATAATTAACAAAATATTAAGCTAACTTTTCAGCTATAATTATATCAAATAACTTTGTCGATGCCCAACTGAAAAGGCGGTAAAAAAAATTGTGTATGAACAGGATAATGAAAACCAGAGAGACAACTTCCTCCACCACTACAAGATGGAGCTGTGATACGCTACACTGCGTCACCATCGTCTGCTTATAACTTCCTGAAGGAAAGGAATGATTGAACTAAACGTCACACGAGTGTAGGATGAAACTGAGAAGATGAGTGAGTGCATAATGGCCACCAGCTATCAGGTAAAAAAATATAACACCAGGACATGGGCAAAGGATATCCGCTCTGAGTCACCAACAAAGGTCATCAGGTTCTTGCTCTTCAGTCCATTTATTTGTGTATATGTAACATGTATATCTGCAGTATACGTACCTATGTATGTTATTTTGTTTTTTCGTACATTTATTTTTATTTCTATTAATTATTCTTTATTGTTTTAGGAACATTCACCACCATGTTGTGACCTGTTCATACACCGCCGCCACAACTCAACAAGACCCTGCACGGAGTCTACCGCCCAAGCAAGGCAACTTAGACCTTACGCCCAAGGAACAATTTGTGCCGAAAGTGGAATTACGAAAGATGCTGTTTTAAGGAAAATGAAATTTGACTGACATCGTAACACCCAAGATCTCTAATTCCCGATAAGTTATATTTTTACGAATGTTTGAGGTACTGGATCTTGTAATTACCGTATTTATTTTTAATGCCGATAGCAATGAGATAATATTTTTTAAGCCTGATTACATGAAGATTACCAGGGTCTAGGTGAATCAAAGATGCTTTACTTTCTTCGTGTACAAGATGTGTTTGTGTGATACTATAGCCGTTCTTTCTTAAATAATTTACAAATAAATTAATAAACTTCCTGAAACTTGGCGAGACATCTGTTTAAAGCCCGGGAATCGGAACAATTAATTCATCCCACACAAACATAATTTTCTTGACGAAATCACAAGTTATCCAATTCTCAAATATTCGTATGATAAGTTTAAATAAGAATTTGGAATAAAAGATTGTCTTTGGTTCTTTTCGTTTCATAATTTTTGCCACTTATCAGGTTACTAGCCATTCAGGCGGTGGGTTCTAAGTACAGGTGGAAACCAGAGAACTCGAAGAAAACCTGCCATGTTTGGTAGTGCCACACTGGATAACACCCTTCCCATGTGTGTACCGGGCCAGGCCTCGAACCCAAGATACAATGGTGAGAGATACGCCCGTTACCGCTGTACCACTATACTGTTATAAATACTGTATAATGACGTCTGCTGTGTTGACAAAACAATGGCATAATACTTCACCACACATTCTCAAACACCTGTTTTAGTGTGTGTGTGTGTGTGTGTGTGTGTGTGTGTGTGTGTGTGTGTGTGCCTTTTGTCATAGCTGATAGTGAGGTGTTTGTGTGAGCGCAGTGATGGGTGGGTGGGAGGGTTATGGAGGTGTTTAGCACAGGCATCACCCTCACTTCCGCTACACCCACACACCCTCCCATTCACCTCCTCCCCTTATCACCTCCATCCTCCTCCTTCCATGCACTACTTCATTTCCTCCGCACCTACATTTTACCTCTCCCTCCCAACACAGTGTCCACCCCTACCTCCTCAACTCTACCTTCCCTCATATCCTTCCTCACCCCTCCCTCCCCGGGAACTAAAACACAAGTATTAATGCAGGAAACACCTCTCTTATGGACCCCGGGGCTGTGTTGAGGGAGTGTGGGGGACCTCAGGCCACGGTACTTGCCTGTATTTCCTCAGGAAGTGTGTAAGAAAAATGGGGGGTGTGGGGAGGGTAAAGCTGCCATCAAGGGAAGAGAAAGTGACACGAAATAGAATCCATGTGTCTGGACGCTGATAGTATGCGTAAAGTGTGAGAGTAAGGAGGCATTTTCTACAGTGAAAACTTTGTTGTTCAAAACTTTTATTACTTGTAAGGCTGTCGGTCGAATCATATACAGGTGAGCAAGGAACATATTCTCAACATTCCGCACGCTAAATATTCCTCGGAAGTTTAGACGTAAAAATGAACCCTTCTGATTAACTTCAACTAAAATATAAAATCAGTACAGTGTGACTCGCTTGAACTAAGATGAAAATAATGACGGAGAAACTCAATAAAATTAAACCAAACTCCTATCGTACTAATTAGATACATTATATCTTTCCAAGTGAGCACAAAATAAATTAACTTGCACATCTTTGAGACGCGTGACCGAGTATTGTAAGAGGCAGCAAGAAGGGGGGAAGGTACACTGTAAATATTGCCGCCACAAAACATAACTCACATTAATTAACAAGTTCTTTCTGAGCTACTACTTCATCTCCAGTGGATGTCAAATATAATTACTAACAATACACATACCGAAATGACTGGTGTGGAAAATGTTTTGTAATCATGAAATCTGAACTAAATAGGTGTTATATTACCATCAATCGTCTATCAAAATAATCTTTATCCATGTTTAGTGCTGTCAAATGTCTTCGTGTTTTATTTAACTATACATCAATCTAAAGTGTATATAATTATTTGTTTCAGCATCAGAGGTTCAGTTAGCCCGATACTGTGTGTGGAACCTGTGATTATGTTGTATAAAGATGTTTAAGTTGTCTCTGCTCTAAGGGTCTGGAAATTAGTTCTACCACTATACTTCTGATGGGGAGCGAGGAAACGATGTGAGAAAAGCATTAAGGCCATAAAAACCTAACCTAACCTAACCTGACCTGACCTAACCTAGCCATATCCGCATAATAATTACAAGGCTCTAGATTGTTAGGTTAGTAGCATTGTGTTTGCTTAATTAATGGTCTAATGGTCTTTTCTGTTCTATGTATTATTATAAACAAACATATCGGTGAAAATAAAATCAGCAATGTATTTTGTGGATGTATCGTAGAACATAACACCCAGGTGATGACTTACTTGCGGGAGTTGGTACATATAGAGCGCCACTTGTCCTTGTAGAACATCTGTAGTCTGCCCTGTAGTGGTGTAGGACCGTCTACCAATCTCAGTGTAGGTTTGGGCAGGGGTGTACTGGGCGGCTGACTGCTCGTAAACGTGATTCTCTTCATTGATGTACCCTGAGGAAGAAGGGGATAAATAAACTCGCATCAGAGATCGTTCCAGACCAAAATACACAAACTAAGAATAATATACAGATGATAAACAAAAATACTATAGGCTCGTAATCACCATGGCGGCGGATAGGCGTTCAAGACCCAGAAAGAAAACACAGACAGAAATTTACCTTCACAACGTAATTTGCTTCGTTGTGTCGGTTATGATGAGCAAAATAATAACATCTATAACTGAAACGTAAGGTGTTCAAGATGTTAATATTGGGAAAACTGCTCGAGTTGTATTATAATATTGTATTCAGATAATTTATGCTTAGACTGTATCGAATATTAATAAAAAACATAGAAGTTAACGAGTTATTATATCGCCGACCCACAGGTTTATAAATACAACAAAATACAACAGCCCCCCAAAAACGTGTATCTATTAATGTTGTCAATAATGAAAAACTAATGGAAGAGGAGAAAAGAAAGATGAAGGACAGGAATAAAGAAAAGAAATATGAGGGAAGAAAAAGAGCAAGTAGGAAGCGAAGGCGGAGGAAATATAAGAGAGAACAAGGAAGAAGAGGAACTGGGACACAGGAGAGGGAGGTGGTGAGTGAGAGACTGGAGGGAGGGAGGGAGGGAGGGAGGGAGAACTTCGTGCAGGGATGGTTTCTAAACCTGTTTTAGACAATTGACGGTGAGGAAGAGTAGGGGTTAGTGAGAGGGAGGGAGAAGGTGAGTGAGAGAGAGGGAGAGGGTGAGTGAGAGGGAGGGAGAGGGTAGGAGGTGAATGAGAAGCAAGGAGTGGGAGGCAGAAGGACGTTGAGAGACTGGAGGGGAAGAGGAAGAGAGGAAGAAGACAAAATAGACCCGTTTGAATGTTGTGTGGTATATATGACGTGTAGGCCTAAAGGTAACTCGAGGAGCCGTATATAACTACATAACAACAGCTTGCTTTCCGTTTGGTTAAGGCTAGGATAGACCAGTTAATACTCTCTTTATATTAACAAACTCCGGAAAAGAATTACACGAAATTTACTAGCACAACAGATAGAAAGAAGGATTAAGTTGAGATAAGAGAGATAACGGTACAGTATATCACCCCACTCCAACGACCTACCGTATCCACCTATTACAAACAGTTAGTTGCAAGTACTATCATTCGTTACAAATTCATATGCTAAGTTCATATCACTAATTCTCCGACAAATACAGATTAATTCCTCTGGTGTTTGTTGGCGACATTAACCCATACACGAATACCTTGTGTTAATGTATATATGAAATTATACCTAATTATGTATATACAGTAAATGTTTGCTTTCGTTTCATGGAAGTAATCAAATATAAACAAACTTTCGATGTGTGTTATTCTCTCCCTGTGTTATGTTCCCGCCAGACACAGTGTGGTGTAGCGTGGCTTATCGATTTCTTTCTCAACCCAGAGAGCATTATGAAGCCTGGATGTAAACAGCGTCGACTAATAACACATTCAGGGTTTCACAGGCAGGGATCAGCGTGGTGTTGGGGAGGAGAGTGATCACAAATCTTGGTAGGGGGGGTGAGTAGCTATATGAAGTATAATTTTCTGGGTCTCGACACCACTCACTGCAGTTGATATTCTTCCATTTCAGTGAATCGAGAACAACATTAATTTTGAAAGTGTAATGCAGGGAGAAGTCCTCACGTAAGCCACCCAGTCCTGACAAATAAAATGCATTTGAAAACTTAGTCTAACTCACTATCAATAGTTTGTTCCATCTATGAGAGCACGCCATGTAGGCTAGTTCTCTGCTGTACAAACACAACAGGTATTAATAGATGAATGATGGCGTCTACGGGCTTATAAACCCCTCATTCCGTCTACAGATGTTCATGGTGAGTGATGTACATTGTTCATGGAGTACAGTACAAGAGGTCACAGTAGAATACAGAGAGAGAGAGAGAGAGAGAGAGAGAGATCACTATACCATACACGTCATATCTCACTATTATCACATGTTATCACCACTATCTAATCGCAGCCTCGTGGGAAAGATAATGCCAACTTTCATCATAACTAAGGTAGATAGTTCTCACCTTACTCATGCTTTAGTAATCCTTATCAAATTCTCAAATACCCTGCTAGTCATGAAGGACCCCCACCAAGTCGTTATCAAACACCCGGACGCACTGAGGCCTCTTGGGAACTATGTGTTAACAAGTTCAATATTTAACCTCCGGGAATGACATCACTAACGAGGACATTCTTAAATATAATTACAGACTCAAAACACTAATATACACTCCGTCATTTTCTTCAACATGGTCACTATGATATTTTAATTGGTCATTTGAAGGAGTGACGTATATCGTTCATTGTGTACAAGAATTTATAAAGAAAAATATGTATGGTTACTTTCGGGCGGGATACGATATGTTTTGACTATGTAACATGTTAATGGTTTTCTCATAGGAATTATAAAGGGGAAATAATATACGTTAAAGGGTTGTCACTCCCCAGCTTAGTACAAGTAGGGGGCGATGCTCTAAGCTTGGTTGGCGCTCCCCAGCTTAGTACAAGTGAAGGGTGTTGCTCTATGCTTGGTTGGCAGAACGTGACAACCTAACTCGTTACCTAACACCCTACTTTTTGTTCTTCTTAAAAATAATAAAAATACCAATATAATAATAATAATAATAAATAATAACAACAACAATTACGGGCTAACATAGTGTACGTCAACATAATGGAGTGTTATACCTGGCGATTATTCTTGAGGATACTAACTTAAAACAATATTAATTCACTTATAAATTACAAATACATAAAGATAATTATTCAACAACAAAAAAATTGCAAGAGAGAAAAAGTAGAGTCCTGTATCGCCCAAGTGTAAGCGGGGATGGGGTGGCCCGCCTACAAAATACAACTAGTCTACAATTACAGTAAACGGGTGCTGAAAGCTTACAAACTGCTTTTATCTCTACGTGGTGGAAGAGAATGGAAGTTGAGGATGTCCGGTAGGTAAGCAAGGAGGAAGTAAGGTAGGTAGATTGTAGGATGAGGAGGGGGAGAGTGGGGGGGGAGGAGCTGGGGTTGAGGGCGTCACTAGGAGAGGTAGAGAAAGAGGAAATTGTGTGTGTAGAAGGTGGATTGTAACGGGAGGAGGAGGTGCGTGGGTGGAGGGTGAGAGGCTTGTGGGGAGGGGGACGGACACACACACACACACACCCATCCTAGTGAGTCATCTGGGCCGCCTGGGTAACGGGAGGTTGGGTGCTCACATGGAAACTCTTCCACCGAGGTGAATCTACTGTATATCTCCTCCTCCTCCTCCTTTCTCTTCCTCTCTGTGTCCTTCCTTACATATTTCTCCTTCTCTCCACCATAATCACTCTAAACTCATTTTTAACCTTATAGCCAACGCACTCTTTTTTTTGGTGGGGTTCCCTTTCTTGTTCTCTCTTCGATTCCTTCCCTTCCCCTCTACCTTTATCTTTAACTACTTCCATTCCACTTCCTCAAACTATCACCTTATTTCCTTCCACCATCTCAACGCTCTCCCCAGGACCACCATCTCAACGCTCTCCCCAGGACCACCATCTCAACGCTCTCCCCAGGACCACCATCTCAACGCTCTCCCCAGGACCACCATCTCAACGCTCTCCCCAGGACCACCATCTCGTTCTCTTGGCTGTATACAAACCTCACCACAGCCGCCACAACATTGCTACATCAGCACACGTAATCCATCAACATCCCGCTGTACCAATCAACCATCAGTAAGCTCCAGTCTAGGTTCATGATAGGAAGATATTTATTCCTTAAAATCTCGCCATACGCGTTTATATTGAGTCAACACGTGTACATAGATCATACAGGCACACAGACAATGGTAAACGACAAATCGATTCGACCAAAGCCATCATAATGGTTATTTCCAGTTGGGTCCTTTGCTTAGGTTGAGGGACTGATCGGTAACAATAGATCTAGAGAGAGAAAAAATAGCGTAAATGTATTGTTAAGCGAAATATGTACAGCATTGCGCTTAAAGTATGCGAGACAATTCAACATTCATTGTTTAGTAAGAAAGAAAATCACTTTTCTCTTGCTGTAGCTTTATCAACTCGTACGCAATTTTCCCTTAACTGGTGATGTGAAAGTTCAACTACAGTTAACACATTTAACCTGCACTAGAACTACCGTAACAGGACAGAAGATACGGCCTCTCCCCCGGGAAGGCTAAAAAGAACGTGTGAACAAATAATTATATAGCAAGAATAAAAGTTCTCAAAGAATATGTAGACCAAAATAAAATAAAAAACACGACAGTTTTGTGATTTGATATGTTTTAAAGAATTCTAGTCTTTCTTAACCACCTATAAATTAATTACTCCATAATCCAATCAATGCAAATGATAGTCACGGAAAATCAACGATAACAAGATGCCTTAAGTCACACACCAAAGAGATATCGCCAAATACTGCAACCACGAGCATAGCACCAAACCGGTGACCTACCCATGTGGAAAACGAAACGTTGCGCCACGGTAACCCAAAAGTAAGTTTTGTAACACCCAATGTCAATATATGCCACATCACATGTCATGCCACAGTGACGCCAACCAAGTGTCATCACCAGCACAGCCAAGGCTACAGTATAGAGTAGACCCAAGGCTTAGAGTGCAGAGTAGAGCCAAGGGTAGAGTCCAGAGTAGAGCCAAGGGTAGAGGTCCAGAGTAGAGCCAAGGGTAGAGGTCCAGAGTAGAGCCAAGGGTAGAGGTCCAGAGTAGAGCCAAGGGTAGAGGTCCAGAGTAGAGCCAAGGGTAGAGGTCCAGAGGTCCAGAGTAGACCCAAGGGTAGAGGTCCAGAGTAGAGCCAAGGTAGAGGTCCAGAGTAGAGCCAAGGGTAGAGGCCAAGGGTAGAGGTCCAGGAGTAGACCCAAGGTAGAGGTCCAGAGTAGAGCCAAGGGTAGAGGTCAGAGAGAGCCAAGGTAGAGGTCCAGAGTAGAGCCAAGGGTAGAGGTCAGAGT